CACAGAAAAGGAAACCATCAATAAAATGGCAAGTCAATTTACTGAATGGGAGAAGTTATTTGCAAATAATATAAGGGGGATAGTAACCAGTAAGGGGTTAATTTCCAAAATACATAAAGAACTTATACAGCTCAACACCAAAAAATCAAGTAATCCAGTTTAAAAATGGGCAGAGGACATGGACAGACATTTTTCCAAAGAAGATTCATGAAAGGATGCTCAACATCACTAATCACCAGGGAAATACAAATGAGAACCACAATGAGATATTACCTCTTTACAGTTAGAATGGCTAAAATAAAAAAGACAAGAAATAACAACCATTGGCAAGGATGTGGAGAAAAAGGAACCCACTGTTGGTGGGAATGTAATTTGGTAGAGCCACTGTGGAAGACCATATGAAGGTTCTGCAAAGAATTAAAAATAGAAAAATGATCCAGTAATTTCACTACTGGGGGATGCCTGAGTGGCTCGGTGGTCGAGTATTTGCCCTCTGCTCATGGCGTGATCCTGGAGTCCAGGGATCGAGTCCCACATTGGGCTCTCTGCATGGAGCCTGCTTCTCCCTCTGCTATGTCTCCCTCTACTATGTCTCTGCCTCTCTCTCTCTCTCTCTCTCTCTCTCTCTCTCTCTCTGTCTCTCATGAATAAATAAATAAATAAATAAAATCTTTGAAAAAAACATTTCACTTCTGGGTATTTACCAACGAAAACACTAATTCAAAAAGATATATGAACCTGTGTGTTTATTGCAGGATTATTTACAACAGCCAAGATATGGAAGCAACCTAAGTGTCCACTGATAGTTGAATGGATAAAGAAGATGTGGTATACATAAACAATGAAATAATACTCAGCCTTAAAAAAAAAAAAAGAATGAGATCTTGCCATGTGGGAAACATGGATTGACCTAGAAGGTATTATGCTAAATGAAAGAAGTCAGACAGAGAAAGACAAATACCATATAATTTCACCTAAATGGAGAAACAAAACAAAACACCACAAAAAGCAGAAACTCACTCATAAATACAGAAAAATGATGGTTGACAGAGAGGAGGGCATGGGGGGATGGGCAAAATGGGTGAAGGGGAATAGGACGTATTGGCTTGTAGTTACGGAATGAATAAACCAAGGGAGTAAAAGGCACAGCATAGGGAATACAGTTATATTGTAATAACAATGCATGGTGATAGATGGTACCTACACCTGTGATAAGCATAGCATTGTATACAGAGTTAATTTTTTTTTAAAGAGACATGAGCAGGGCAGCCCCGGTGGCGCAGCGGTTTAGCGCCGCCTGCAGCCCAGGGCGTGATCCTGGAGACCCTGGATCGAGTCCCACGTCGGGCTCTCTGTATGGTGCCTGCTTCTCCCTCTGCCTGTGTCTCTGCCTCTCTCTCTGTCTCTATGAATAAATAAATAGAATCTTAAAAAAAAAAAGAGAGAGAGACATGAGCAGAGGGAGAAGCAGGCTCCCTGCAGTGAGACTGATACGGGACTTGATCCTAGGACCCCGGGATCACGACCTGAGCCAGAGGCAGATGCCCAACCACTGAACCATTCAGGTGCCCCTATAGAGTTGTTAAATCCCTGTATTATACACCTGAAACTAATGTAACATTGTGTGTCAACTATATTTCAATCAAAAAAATAAATTAAGGGCATCTGGATTAGTCAGTTAGGTACCTGCCTTTACCTCAGAGTCCTGGGATTGAGCCCCACATCAGGCTTCCTGCTTAGCAGGGAGTCTGCTTCTTCTTCTTGCTGTTCTTGTGCTCTCCCACCCCCCTCTCCTTCTCAAATAAATGGATAAAATCTTAAAAAAAGTAATTAATTAAAAAATAGACCTGAATTCCTGCTCTATCACACCTGTCTACATGTCATAGAGAGGGGTTCGTATAGTCTTTCATCCTTAATTTTCTCTTCATTACAATGGGAATAAATATTATCTAAGGTGAAAAAAAATCCACCTAAAATACAATACTGAACATGATGAACACAAATGAAAGGGAAGTTGATAGCTCTATTAAATCAGAGAGAAAAGCATTAAAGCAAAAACATTATTAGGGATAATCTTTGTTTTCTAACCAGTGAATTTTGTTAAATTTATTGTTACTAGATATACCTGGATTCATATTCCTCTTCTAACTTTACACTATTTATCCTCTTTTTTACATGTTTCTTTTCTCCTTTCCTGCCTTTATTTATTGAATTTTAAAATTTGCTTTTTCCCATTCTTATGCTTTAGAGGATATGTGTTCTATTTCTACAATTTCAGTGCTTTCTCTTAAATATTTTTAACGTATGAATTTATGTCAAAATTATTACCTATACATTCTTCCTCATGATTACTGGAATTTAAAACACTTTAATGGATTACTCTCTCCAGTCTTCGAATATTAGTACTATCTAGGATTTTTACCCCAGTTTGTTTCCGTATCCCCCACTAGTCATATGTTTTTTAAGGTTAATGTCTTTACCCCTCTACTTAATTAATTTCTTTGCCCATCATTACTGTTTCCATCTCACTCTTTCTGATTCCAATGTCCTGTGGAAGCTCTTTTGTGAAGGGTCTATTGCAGATAAACTCTCAATCTCTGTCTCAGAGTGCCTTTCCTTAACGCTCATCCTTGAGTTATTTATTTGCATGTGGTGTCTGAGGCTGAGAAGTATTTTCTGCTGACTTCTTGTTTTTGTGAAGTGGCATTCTTTCCAGATAATCTGGTTGAATTTAAGGCTGTCCTTTTCTTTTGGCCTTTTGCAATTTTACTACAATGCCGTTGTATCTTTTGATTTTCCTGTTTGGAATTTCTTTTGCTTCTTGAGCAGGAGAATTGTTGCTTCTCATTTTCATCTGTTTTATTTTTTAATTTGTTTATATCCCATTCTCTCCATTATTTCCCTCTGGAAATTCTACGAAGATATATATAGAATGTTGGGGTCTTTTTGTGGTATGTAATGCCTCTTAATCCCTTTTATATTATTTTATATCAGCTGAGTTTCACCTGTTATTTAACTCATCCATTGAGTTTTTAATTTCAATCATTATATTTTTAATTCCCATGAATTTTATTTGGTTCCTTTATTAGTCTGTCCAGTCCTTTTGTGACAACAGCTTTTCTCAAGAATTTATTTTTCTAAGCCTTTTATCATCTTAATGTTTTCATAATCACTTTCTGACAATTTGATTAAAGAAGCTATTTATTTTTTGTCTGTTGTTGGTTCTTGGATTTTTTTTCCCTCATGTGTTTTGTAATTTTTATTGAAAGCTCCTTTTGGGAGGAGGGATTAATCTGTAGGAATCCTATAAGGCAGGGTTTGAGGATGTGTCTCTTTAGAGAGATGGTATTTATTTCTGTCAAATCTCCTAGAGTTACCACTAGGTTATTGGAAGCTCTTTGCACGTTAATATATAAAATCCAGTTACAAATGTAATAAATTCAAATTTACCCCACAAATAATTAAAATTCAAATTCCAATCCATGTGATAGTCTTTGGTTATAAATTGAGAATATTTTTTTTTTTTGTCCCAGGCTAAGTACCTTAGTTTTTTCCTCACCAATAGGTAGTAGTTGTGATTTTAACCTCTCTGTTTAATGATCCAGGAGTTCTCTATTTCCCCCTTTTAAATTCTGTTTCTCTTTCTCTTTCTGATACAGTTAGGACTTTTAGCTTTACACAGCCTGTAACTTATTCTGTCCTTCCATGGCCAGTGAAATCTGAGTCTGTTTGTCATGAAAAGCAGCAGCCATCCCCACTGTGCCCTTATCCAGAGCAACTATAGCATGAACACCTTACTATGAGTCTGGATTTACAAAGATTATGGGCCTGGATATTTTCCTTACTTTCTTAAAAACTCAGGTACATTTTTATAAAAAAGTTTGTTTTAGAGAGTAGAAAAGTAGTTGTCAGGGCCTGTGGGGTAGGGAAAATAGGGGGAGGCTGGGAAAAAGGGTACAAACTTTCAGTTATACGATGTACAAGATCTGAGGATCTGATGTAAAACATGGTGATTATAGTTGATAATACTGTGTTGTATAATTGAAATTTGCTAAGAGAGTAGAACTTAAATGTTCTTGCCAAAAATAAAAAAGATAAATATGTGAGGTGATGGACGTATTAACACATTAATTAACCTTAATTAGCATTAATTGATTAGCTCTAATTAATGCCTATTAAAGTGGATCCTTTCACTATCTATATGTACATCAAATAACTACAGTGTACACTTTAAATATCTTTTTAATTTTTTAATTTTTATTTTTTTAAAAAGATTTCATTTATTTGAGAGAGAGAGCACAAGCAGACAGAGGAGAAACAGACTCCACACTGAACATGGAGCCTGATGTGGGACTTGATCCCAAGACTCTGGGATCATGACCTGACCTGAAACAAAGAGTCAGACACTTAACTGACTGAGCCATCCAGGCGCCTAAATATCTTGAATTTTATATGTCAATTACAGCTCAGTAAAGCTGACATTTAAAAAATTTTTTAAAGAAATCTTTAAAAGCTTTGTTTTAGCATTGACTCATATTTTGTATCAAGAGAATTTGCAGATCTTCTAGTCTACCATTTTTCCAGAAATAGAAGCCAAGATGGGTTTTGACCTTTCCTAGGCATCCTTTAACTTTGAAAAAGAATCTAGTTGAGATTGGCAAGCAATCATTGAATGTCTCCTATGTAGCAGCTACTATTTAGGAAAATGATTCATTTGCTAGCAGAAAGCCAGTTGCAGTCAGAAAATAAATCTGCCTATCTTCCCCAACCTTCTGTGACTATCAGTTGCAAAGACCACATTGTATCAGAGGCATCATCAGATAAGTTCTAGTACTTTAGATAAAATTCGTATGTTCAGATAAAATTCCAGCACTTGAGCCCCAGCTGCTACCATATGGCTTACATCATCATCATTAACAACAACAAAAAAAGGTAGGTGGAAGAGTTGCACGTAAATTCACATAATTTTCAAAATTGTGTGTTTCTCTTCTTTTGTTTAGATATTCTACTACCTCACTTTAAGAGAATTAGTAATATGTGGTCAAGTTTGCCACTCCTGGATGTTGATGACACAAGCAAGCTCACTGTGGAACAGTGTAAGTAGACATGACTCAAAGCTATCTTCATTCTAGTTCTCAAAAGAGAACAGCCTGCTATAAAGCCAACTATACTAGGGACTACTTTTTTCCCTGTTCCCCCAATAGGACCACAAAAAAGTAGGTGCATTTGTTTCTCTTTTGTCCAGGCACTAGCCCAAAGGACAAGATAGAAAGATAATAATGTTATTTTTAAGAGATAGATTATTAGTATTTCCTAATTTAAATGGCAGAAACAAATTGAATATTCTTTTTTGGGTGGAAACATATTGCCATTATATCTGAGTTAGACCTAATATTGCCTAACTCAGGATGCCGTGGACATAAATTGAGGAGATGTAAGTAAAGTGCTTACTGTGGAGCCTGGTGTGTAGACAGCACTCAATAAATATTAGCTCTTATTATTGGTTTGAAAAACATAAAGTAGCACAAAATATGAAGTAATGGGGAAAAAATAGGGCTAAAATATACAACATGTAAACAAAACTTGAGTGTCTCTGCATGCACACATACACTTTGGCAGTTTCTAAGATAGACTTCTAGGCTGGTACCTCTACACTACTCTTGTCATTGTACCATTTTTATACTATTTTTTTATACTATTCTTATAACCTAGAATTTCTCATTTCAATGAGACACTGGGGAGAGGTCTCAGCCAACAGCAAAAAATAGACATAAATTGTCCTTGATGTCTTTTCTGTTTCTTGGATGATACTTTAATCTCTGTAATCATTTATGCCATCAATCAGTGTTGCAGTGGCAACATTTTCCCAATCACCTAGTGTCCAGTAAATAGCTGACTTTACCACCTCTCCTTAATAGCTAATGACTGAGCAGTAATGACATCACATGCTCAGGCCTATGAATAGATGGCTGGAACCGTTCCACATAAATTCTAAAACTTAGACAAAGAAACTAAGGAGCCACTCCACTCATAAATCAAGTCAATATCTTGACATCCCATTCTTCGCTTTACTATTCCACTCTCACCTTGTGCATCAATGGCAAGAGGAAAATGTGCCTGTGTCTCAACTAACCCATCTTAGCCACCAAATTTAATATTCCTGTCTTAAGTTTATTTTTAATTTAAGGCAGTGATATCCAATCTTCAGAATGCATCAGAAACATCTGAAGGGATTGTTAAAATAGACTACTCACTGCCAAATTTATCATTGGTTTAAAGTGATAAATATTTCTTATGTGACAGATTGGAAATATTACTTTTTGCTTTGGAAAACCTATAAAAAATTTAAAAAATGAGCCCAAATGATCAGAAGGAGAAAGAATATGTACAATATTAAGATCAGGATATATCCTGCAGAAGCCTGGTGGGAAAAGCTAGTACTTTTGCTACTTTTGCCCAAGATCTTACGAGGTAAAGTTGGAGAAAATATGAGCACATGTCAGTGAAGAACAAAGCCTGGGTAGGAAGTTAAGTTTCTTTATATTCAGCAAATTTCTCTCTCCACAATTATCCTTTATTTTCTATTAGTTTTACCTTCATTTGTGAGTGCTCAAGTGTGGCACAACTAGAACAAACATTTTAGCACAAAGAATAACTTTATTCAGAAGGCAGTGAGAAATTGGAAATTCAGGGGTGCCTGAGTGGCTCAGTCGGTTAAGTGTCTGCCTTTGGCTCAAGTCATGATCCTCGAGTCCCAGGATTGAGCCCCATGTTGGGCTCCCTGCTCAGCGGGGAGTCTGCTTCTCCCTCTCCTTCTGCTCCCCACCCCCACTTGTTCTCTCTCTTAAATAAATAAAATATTTTTTAAAAATTGGAATTCATAAACTTAATCTTTTAGCTGAAGGACATTATTTAATACTACAATATCAATGTTATTAATCAACTGGCCCTAGCCACTCGGAGTTTACATAAATCTCATGTGATTAGCTAGGTACGCTCAGGTCTCTTCCCCAGACCTCCCTTCTCCAAATTATGAGTTATGAGAGGGCTACTGTAAACCTCTCACTCTAAATTGTCTTCTCTGGGATCCCTGGGTGGCGCAGGGGTTTGGCGCCTGCCTTTGGCCCAGGGCGCGATCCTGGAGACCCAGGATCGAATCCCACATCGGGCTCCCGGTGCGTGGAGCCTGCTTCTCCCTCTGCCTATGTCTCTGCGCCTCTCTCTCTCTCTCCCTCTGTGACTATCATAAATAAATAAAAATAAAAAAAAATAAAAATGTTTAAAAAAATTGTCTTCTCTGTAGTGAAGAACTTAACATACAGTCTCTGCTCATGATTAAAGAAGCAGGCACATGTTCTGAGTGGGGGGGGGGCAGGCAGCCTTGGGGCTCACCTGGGATGATGGCAGGGTAGCCAAGCCACTCCAACAACAATCAACTCTGTTGTGGGGAAGATGCAAGACTCCTGCCCTCCCAGCTGTCGACCTGGACTGGACATTTGGAATCTGTTTGTAATTAAACATGGGAATGACCATGAAAAAAAAATCTGTTTGTAATTAAACTCCAGAATGATCATGAACACAAAGAAATAAGTGAAAAAGAGATGTGATGAAGAAAACTGTTTCTTGATGCTTTAAAAACATAAAAAATTTTACATGCAAAAGATCTTTCTCATTTCTTAATGTCTTTTGTTTATCCTTTTTAGATTGATTTTTCCACAGTAAAAAATATAATCACAGATAAATATATAGTGTCTACTTTGCAAAGGTGGCGTCTAAATGTGCTGCGTTTGAATTTTCGTGGTTGTCTTCTCCGATCGAAAACCTTGAGATCTGTCAGTGAGTATGAGTATGTTTATTATAACTCTTTGTCTTGCTTTCCTATTTTTAATTAAACAAATATAAAGAAAAATATAAATAAAATAGAAACCAGTTACAGTCATAGGCCATAAGAATGCCAATTAAAAACATTTAAAATGCTTATAGTATAATCGGCTCTCACTGGACTGTATGCTCTGGGAGCTGGTCCTTTTTCCATTCTTTTTTTAAATATTTTTTTAAGATTATTTATTTATTTATTCATAGAGACACAGAGAGAGAGAGAGGTAGAGACACAGGCAGAGGGAGAAGCAGGCATCATGAAGAGAGCCTGATGTGGGACTCGATCCAGGGTCTCCAAGATCATGCCCTAGGCTGCAGGTGGCGTTAAACCACTGCGCCACCCGGGCTGCCCTCCTTTGTCCATTCTTATTGACTACTTTTTTTTGCCTAGCATTTGTCTACCCATGTATCCTCAATTCATTTACCAAAAAAATAAAAAAATAAAAAAAAAATAAATATATATATATATAGGAATATATTCTCGATTTAAAAATTCTAACAAGACAGTTAAACAAAAACCTCCCTTTATTTCCCTCAAACCCATTTGCTTCTTCAAAGGTACTCAATGTTACCAGTTTTCTGTTTTTCTAAAATACATTGACATGTATGTGACACAATTAAAAATTTTAACATGAATGGAAATATTTTTTATATATTCTTTTATATCCTGGAAATCTTTCCTTGTCAGTATATATAGAACAACTAAATTATTATTTTTTGAACAACTAAATTATTTTTAAATACTTAGAATCATTTTCCATACTATGGATGTAGCATAATTTACTTAACTTTCTTCCTCCTGATAGACTTCGAGGTTATTTCCAATTTTTTCCAAACAGCTTTGGACTTTCATTGTGACATTTCTTTGACTGCCTTAGTCAGTCTGAGCTGCCACAATAAACTTTCATACACTGGGTGGCTTATAAAGAACAGAAACTTATTTCTCACAGTTCTGGAAGCTGGATGTCCCAGACCAGGATGCCAGCATAGTTCTAGAGAGGGCCCCCTTCTAGGTTATGTAGACTGTTGTCTGGAATCCTCACATGGCAGAGAGAGGGAGAGAGAGATCTCTGGGGTCCCTTGCATAAAGGCACAAATCCTATTCATGAGAGCTCCACTCTAATTACATCCTGAAGGCCCTATCTCCTAATGCCATCACATTGGGGGGTAGGATTTCAGCCTCTGAATTTGGTGGTGGGAACACATCCAGACCATTGCATTAACCCATATGTTGTTTAAGGTGCATTTTAAAATTTCCATATATCTGGAAATGAAAGAAAAAATATATTTTAAAAAGTATAATCCATACTGATTTCAGTTAATGAGAAAGAATGCCATAAACATATGTAGATATCAACATGGAGGAGTCTAGTGATATGTGAGTGAAAGTAAGTTGCAGAATGATATACATAATCTAATACCATCTGCATATAATTTTTTCAGTGTGCAAAATAATAATATACTTAATACTTTGAAAGAATTTACATAATGCATATTTAAAGGGACATACAGATATATAGCAAAATACAAAAAAAAACATGCATGGGAATGAAAACTCCAAATCAAGATAATGGTTACCCCTGAGGGGGACAGAGTTGAATGAAGTAGGGAAAAGGTTCACAAAGAGTTAGTTCCTCCCTCTCTTCCTCCCTCCCTCCCTCTCTTTCTTTCTTCCTACCTTCGTTCCTTCCTTCCCTTTCCTTCCTCCCTTTCTTCCTTCTTTAAGAGAGGGAGAGAGAGGGTCAGGGGGAAGGGGCAGAGGGAGGAGAGAGTATCTTAAGCAGGCTCCACACCCAGTGGAGAGCCCAAAGAGGAGTTTGATCTCATGACCTTGAGATCATGACCTGGGCAGAAATCAAGAGTTGGATGCTTAACTGACTGAACCACCCAGGTGCTCCAGAGAGTTTCAACTGTACCTATAATTCTTTTTTTAATTGAAAAAGTAAAGAAAACATACCAAATGGGATAATTCTGACTGATTACTGATGCTGAAAAAAGCTATAGCTTTTATATTATGTTATTGTATTGATGACATATTAAAGTATCTTCTTGGTTTTAACAATTTGTCAGGTGATTCTTTTGGGTTTTCTAGGCAGATCATTTATTTCCATTCATTTCTATTCTTATATCTTTTCTTTTTTATCATAAAAGGGTGTTGAATTTTGTCAAATGGTTTTTCTGCATCAACAGAATTTTTTTCTTCATTCTATTAACATATTGTTATTACATTGAATGATTTTTGTATGTTGAACCATCTTTGCATTCCTGGGACCAATTTCACTTGTTCATGGTGTATAATCCTTATAATATGCTGCTGTATTTTCTTTGCTATTTTGTTAAGGGTTTTTGTGTCTATATTTAAAAGGAATATTGGTCTGTAGTTTTCCTTTCTTTGTGAGGTCTTTGGCTTCATTGTCAGAGTAATACTGGTTTCCCAGGATGAGTTAGGGGCTATTTTCTCCTTTTCTATATTTTGAAAGGGTTGGGGATTGGCGTTAATTATTCTTTAAATGTTTGGTAGAATTTGCCAATGAAGGGCAGCTCTGGTGGCTCAGTGGTTAAGTGCTGCTTGCAGTCTGGGGTGTGATCCTGGAGACTCGGGATCGAGTCCCACGTCAGGCTCCCTGCATGGAGCCTGCTTCTCCCTCTGCCTGTGTCTCTGCCTCTCTCACTCTGTGTGTATCTCTATGAATAAATAAATAAAATCTTAAAAAAAAAAAAAGAATTTGCCAATGAAGCATCTGTCCTAGGTTTTTCTTTTTTGGAAGTGTCTTGATTGCTAATTCTTATTTGTTATAAATCTATTCAGAGTTTATGTTTCTTCTTGTGTCAAGTTTGGTAGCTTGTGTGTTCCTAGGAATTTGCCAATTCCATGTAGGTAACTTAATTTGTTGAGGTGCAATTGTTCATGGTATTTTGTTATAATCCTTTTCATTCCTGTGAAGCAAATAGTAATGCATGCACTTTCATTTCTAATTTTAGAAATTTTAGTCTTCCCTCTTGATTTTCTTGATCAGTCTAGCTATAGGTTCGTTAATTTTTGTTGATCATTTCAAACAACCAACTTTTTAGTTCCTTTTTTATTGTAGTAAAATATACATAAAAATTACTGTTTTGACCATCTTAAGTGTACAGTTCTTTAGCATTAAGTGCATTCACATTGTTGTGGAAACATCATCACCATCCACCTCCAGAACTTTTTTTTTAAAGAAGATTTTATCTATTTATTTGAGAGAAGGAGAGAGCATGAGTAGGGGGAAGGGCAAAGGGGGAAGGACAAGTAGATTCCCTACTGAGCAGGGACCCTACCCCCACCCCCAAAGCAGGGCTTGATCCCAGGTCACTGAGATCATGACCTGAGCTGAAGCAAAATGCTTAACTGACTGAGCCACCCAGGTGCCCCCAGACTTTTTCAAAAAGTTTTTTTTTTTTTTTTTTTTAGTTGCAAAACTGAAACTCTGAACCATTAAATATTAACTCCCCATTTCTTCCTACTTCCAACCCATGGCAACTACCATTCTACTTTCTCCCTCTATGGATTTGACTACCTTGTATAAGTGGACTCCTGAATATTTGGTCTTTTGAGCCTGATTCCTTTCAGTTAGCATCATGTCTTTAAGTTTCACCCATGTGGCAGCTCAAATCTGAATCTCCCTCCTTTTTAAGAGTGAAAAATACTCCACTAGATATGTACACCACATTCTGTTTATCTATTATTCAACCATCAGTGGACACAGGTTGCTTCCATTTTTTGTCTGTTGTGAAATAATACTGCTATGAACATGAGTGTTCAAACAGCAACTTTGATTTTTATTGATTCTATTGTTTTTCTATTTTTTATTTTATCCCCACTCCAATCTTTATTAAACTGTTTGCATTAGATTTCTTTGCTTTTATTTTTTAGTTTCTTAAAGTGGAAGTTTAGGTTATTGATTTGAGGTCTGTATTCTTTTAAAATGTTGGCATTTACAGCTATAGCCTTCCCTAGGTTTCCTTTAAAAAAAAAAAAAAACTGCTTCCACGTAAATATTATTCCTGATGCCTAGGCACAAAGTCCACTGGGAAGTTTGGGATGGAGAGGAAATGGGCAACATGAAGCTGCAACTTGTATAGAGAATACAGAGAGGGCCAAAAAATGATCAATTCTGTACCATACAATGGCATATGTTCATTATATCAGATGATGATACATCTTATGTATGTAATATATATTCCATATGTTGTATCAATACATAGATAGATATATCTTAGATGGTTTATATTTTATCTGAGGTCCAAGAGAGGCAAAAATACTGCCTTAAGTTTTTGGTATCTTGTCGTCTACTTAAGAATATTTAGTATTTATCTGGGGCACCTAGGTGGGGTGACCAACTCTTGATTTTGCTTCAGGTCGTGAGATCAAGCCCAGTGCTGGGCTCCACACTGGGTGTGGAACCTGCTTAAGATTTTCTCTCCCTCTCTGCCTCTGCCCCTCTTACCAGATAAACTAGTATTTATCTGGAAGTGTAATTCTGTATTTCTTAGTCCAAAAGTTTTTATGAAGGAAAAAATTAAACATGCAAGCTTAAGTAGACCTTGACTTTCTAAGGAAGTAAATGTAATGCCTAGCTCATCTTTTTGATATTTTAATTTACTAAAGGTTATTTAATGAAATCAGTTTTAATTCCAGCTACCCTGAGTATATCAAAGATAAAAACCCAATCTCAGTGATGTTTCAGCTTTTCAATTTTTTTCCCCCAGCTAGGGTTAGTCAATCTGTTGGTGTGTCTGGAATTACACACTTTTTTGGCAAGAAGTTTGACTTTCTTATTGTTATATTTGAGGATAAACATTGGCTGATCATTTGAACTGCTTGACTGAATGGCCATAAGAGTTGTACAAAATCCTTGTCTGTAAACACTTTGGAATAAAATTAAACTGTTATCTTAAAATGTTTAAAAGGCAGATGAAGGCAGGGGAGAAAAATGCTTGCTATAATATTGGGACAATTACATGTGCAGAGTATATGCTAAGACACTGTGGCAAACATTTGGCAAGGGTACACAAGTGATTTCTAAGTTCAGGAGTTGTGTTGTGCTTTAGTAAAATAACTTTGACTTGTGAACACCCCTGTAGTTGCATGTTTATGTTTCTAGAATTTATAAGATATAATATTGAAATCGTTTTGAACAGAATTGTGAATTCATCAGTCTCTCTTCCCCATTCATGTTGTTCTTATTCACTCTAGCATTGATACTGATTTGTTAGTCACAGATTCCATCTTCCCCTCCACTCACCAACACCCCACACATCCTGAAGAAGGAAGCCTCGATGTCTCATAGAATCCAGGCAAGCAGGTTTTCAGTACTGAATTGCTTCTATTTGCCAGAGCTGGAGAAACAGATTCCTCAGAAACAGATGTTAATTGATATAGGGTGTAAGCTCCAGAGGTTGGATGGTTAGGCATTAGGTCAGAGATGACTCAGATTTAGGAATCAAGAGACCTCAGCTTGCATTGAATCTTATTTACTTTGGAAAAATTAGGGATTTGAGGACTAGTGGGAAAGTTAAAACAAACAAAGCTTGAGTATTTGGATAAATACTCAAATAATATTTGGATAAATACTCAAGTGACATTTAAACATGTATGACCAAATATACAGATCTCCGGATTATCATGTTTTTGACTACCACAAAATATACTTATTTTTAAATCTCCTGACCTTCATCATCTATTGAACAGAAGGAAGGTCCAAAGGCAAGTTATTCAACCATCAAGAAATCGGCAGAAGAGGATGTACCTAACCGTTTATTCCATCATTGATCAACTCTGTTTCGCTGAAAGGCAGAAACTCTGATACAGAGAAGGGGCAAATCCTAAGCTTTCAAAAATGTGCTTCAATTTTGGTCCTGGGAGATATTAGCAACTCTAACCTAACTTTTGGATGGTACGGATCAATTTCTATTGCAACGTGTTTTAGAGCTTTATTTCCAAATAGATCTCGTAGATGACACTGAATATAAAAAATCAACTAATAAAATCTTTAGCTAGGCTCCAAAAATGGAACCAGAGAGTAGCTTGAGCCCTTTCTCTGAGTCTGATTTAATCTTCTCTCTTTTTCCAGAAGCCTTGTGTCCCCACTGTGTGCCTCAGTCTCCTACTGAGGTCCCATCCAGGTTTTTTCCATCATCATACCTGAAATGGGTCCCGTGTCCTTAATATTCGACTCTTAAGTGTTCATGAACATTACGCTCTAGTAACAGATTTAACATCTGCCTTTAATACCTCAGTGAATAAGGCGAGGATTTCCATTAAGGCCCAGTATGTGCAAGTCTCTACCTCTAGTCCAAACCACTGGTAAAATGGGTAGAGTGGTTAGAGCCTTACAATCCAGAGTCCTTTCCTGAACCACCAGCTCCAGCAATTTTCCCAGCTTCCCATTCTCTTGGTTTCCTACACATATTAATACAGATTTAAATGCCCTGGACCAAAGACTGTCTGCTGTCCTCATGGGTGTTTCTGGAGAAATAGGCTTAATTAACATTCTTGGTACCTGTTCCTCTCTTGGATCTGATTCTGTAAGTCTTGATGTGAGGCAGCCAAGGTCAATGGTGACGTTTAGAGTGCTCTGCAGCCCTCCACTGCAGGAAGGGCTGGGATAGACCTGAATGCTGCCTCTGCTACCTGCCAGCTCTGTGACTTTTTCCAAGTTACCTAAACTCTAAGCCTTGGATTCTTCATCTAGAAAATGGCAGGTAATATTACCTACCTCAGAGGGATCTTGGGAGAATTAGACATAGAATATGTAAAGCTTTAAGCACAGCATCTGGCATCTAGTAGGTGCTTAAGAAATGCTCAGTACTATTTGTCATACGCCATCTTCTCTGCTTTGTTAAGTATTAAGTAAGACCAGTTGCTAAACTTCGTAGGAATATCTTGATATAAGAAATGAAAATGTATTCAACTCAGTGTGAAAGGGAAATTTCTATAAAAAGGAAAAAGTGGCATTTTAAACTATATATATATATATATATATATATATATATATATATATATATATACTTATCTCTTTAAAAATTTTTTCTGGGCAGCCCCGGTGGTGCAGCGGTTTAGCGCTGCCTGCAGGCTAGGGCATGATCCTGGAGACCAGGGTTCGAGTCCCACGTCAGGCTTCCTACATGGAGCCTGCTTCTCCCTCTGCCTCTCTCCCTCTCTCTGAATAAATAAATAAATAAATCTTTAAAAAAATAAATTTTTTTTCTAATAGTACAGCTGTCAGAACAGCTAACGGGGCTAGTCTCCAGGTGTTCCCACTTTTTTCTGCTGATCCGCTTCCCTAGGTGAGCTAATTTTAACTTGCAAACCCAAATCATGGGGTTCCTCTTGGACAACATCTCTTACTCAGTTGCTTTTGAGATCACTGTCTCCTGTTTGCTTCTTCCTCATCCCCAATCCTGATGCTGGATTCTACTTTCATCCTTTGCTTTGTGGTTGGCATATTAGCTTAGCAGAAAGGGCCTGAGCCCTTCCTACTGGCAGGTGGCTGCCTAGTCTGAATTCTGTTCAAAAATCAGTCCTATTTCCACATTCTCTAGTGTTTATACCTCTTCATTGCTCATGTTTCACACCATCTACAACTTCTTCAGAGTCCCATCCTCTGGCCAGTGTCTAATATAATTTCCAGATTCTCTATTTGTTTGTGACAATTCTTCAGGTCTAGCTTGACAGTTTTTTGCAAGAATCAGTGAAGAGTACTTGAGAATTCGGGTTTACCAGGACCTCATTTTGGGATGCACAGGAATCTGAAATGGAATTTTAGTCTATGTATAAGCTGACTTACTGAAAAAAAAAAAAAAAGTGGGAGGGGGCAGAGGGGAGAGAATGATATTTTATTATTACTAAGCATTCATGTTTTCATTTTGATCTTTAGGTATACACAAGCAGCTATCACAAAGCATATAAAAATAAATCAGGTTTTTTTTTTAATTTTCAAAAAGCAGTAAAAACATTTATACAGGACATTATGAAATTCCAATGCCATCATTAGGACCCAACTTCCGCAGTTTACCAGTAAGGAATCATCACCAGACACTGGTCTGCAAATAGGCAGGCAGGCAAGCAGGATGAAAGTTTTCCCTTGAGTGCTAGAATTTTCACAATAATAATACTAATAAGGGAACCTTCCTTTAGCCGGAAAACCCTGCATAAATAGGCAACACAGTTAATCACAATGTAAACGTACGGCTTTTTGACACCAGTATAGCAAATACAAAACTAGTTGCACTCAGAACAATTTCTAAGTTATCCCACTATAGTGATTCTTACACGTTGTTTTTTTGTTGTATGATCTCTGTGTATTTTTTCCCACTCATCATCTTCCGTATCCTGGTCAAATGTTTCAGGGTATGCCGGTAATTTGTCTTTGGGGCATTCTTCAAAGTAAGTGCGGATATATTTTCCCAGAAACCACCCTTTGTATTCTTCAGGCGTTTTACATTCCAGGCCATTATAGTGGACGTTGTAGTGGTGCTTTAGCCAGTAGTAGAGGTAGTGGATATTGTAGTCACATCTCCAAGGGTTATCTCCAAGCCATAAGAGTTTCAAAAAATACAAGTCTTCTAATACTCCATAGTCAAAGTTTTGTAGACTGTTGTTTGATAAATCTAACTCTTCTAAATGTGTGAGTCCTAAAAAAGCAGCTAGAAACAGAAAATCTTTGTTAATGAACTGAATAGCTGGGTTACATCTAACTGTATGGTGTACTATGAGGACAAGTATAAAAAAAAATAAGAGACTAATTCTCCTGGTTGAAAATAAAGAAAAAGATTGTCCTTTCCTTTAACGCAGAGCATTTACTTTGGAAAACTTGTAATTTTAAGTACTTTATACTCTCTTTGAAATGTATACATATCCTTTACAAGACTAAGGAGGGCTTCTATCTAGAGCCAGGAATGACTTTCCCAAGGACTTGAAAGCCATCTTTGAAATGTAAACATCAAGGGAGATAGCAGCCCTATCTTCCAGTTTCTGTGGGACCCTATGGGCCTTGCTCCTAGTTGCAAAACTACTTCCTCATGTAACAATGGAATTTGTTTTCCTCTGGATAAAGCCAATTGGTCACCTCAATTACTAGATAAAGTTAGGACCACCATGTATGACAAATAATGCTGTCAGTTCTTTCAGTTGACTAGTTATTTACCATGTATGCATGTTTTCAGGGTAAATATGTATGGGATTGTCTGCTTGCTACATAAAAGAGTAAGATTTCTGTCTTTGTAATCTCTTAGAAGACTGCCTGTGATGTCCATCACATTGTGGTTTAATGCTTATTCAATAAGAAAAGTGGTTTTGTTTTGTTTTGTTTTGTTTTTCTCTACTCCCTTTGTAGAGAGAATTTCTGTGTTGGGAAATTTTGGTTTTCATTATATTTTCCTAACAGTATACGTGTCTACATGCAAAATTCTGCAGTATGTTTTTACTCACACAAGGCCTTTTCCTGGATTTAATTGGCTAGAATACAATATATCATTTGAAAAATCAGTTTTATGTTAGTTTTCTAAAAAATGTATTTGGGGCTCAAGTGCATTTTTTTTTAATACTCACTGCAAAGATGCCACAAAAAAGGCATGAATTAGGAAAATATTTCAAATGTAAGATATAAGTGCATAAACAAGGAAAAAATGTGTATGGTGATGATGTGACAGTTCCTGGGATATGAGCAAACTCTGAAAATGCTTCAAAAACAGCCCCCCCCCCCATTTATGGGGAGAGAATTATATTTCTTTACAGTCCAAAATGAAACAATTTTTATCAACATTTTGAAAACATCTGGTTGTGTTTTGGCAAGCTTTGGTAGCTGTCAGCTTTGAATCCATATGTATTTAATTCTGCTGGAGGGTGGGTAATTAACAAATGTCAAACATATAACATAAAAATAAGACAACAAAAACCTTTTTTATTTTCCCCTCCAGGAGTAGAAAAGAAATCTAAATCTAGATTATCCCTACTTCAGTTGATGTGAACTAACCCTGGAACTTATTGGTCAACCTTGATTTCAAATATTTTGTTTCTATTTCAAACATATTCTCATTACTGTTTTAAAATACTCAGGGCATACAACAATGTCCTTATTTTGAATTTGGAAAATGTGCTCTAATACCAATACCATGAACCATTTTATATCATTTGTTTTCAGACAAAACTCATTATTTCCCCTGAAAAGAATTCTATTTTGGTGCAAAAGCAATGGCTTAGGTTGGAGTGCTGAGATTGGGAAGGCGGCTGGGGAGGAGCAAAAGGTCAGCCCGTGTAATGACAGTTTTGAAGACACTGCATTTTTTCCCCTATTTGCTAACATTCTATGAACCAATGATCTCACAATTCACTTTCCTTAGAACAAGTCAGCCCTTTAGACTGAAAGCATGTGAAAACATTCCTAGATTTTATTTTGCAAGTGCTATTGTTTTTACTTAAATCATATGTATCCAAGCACTTGAAAAATCTGGATTTCATTTGTTTCTTAGAGAAGATAAAACCCTTAATAGGGTGTCTTTTTTTTCTCTTCTGCAATGAAGTTTGGCATTTTAGGAGGTTGTTATTTCACGCCTTTTAAAACCAGTAAATCTCATTGCATTTGGGTACCTGCCAGCATAAGTAGTTAACTAATTCTACTTGGGTACTGTTTCATCTCATTGGTCCTGAAACATAGAAGGTCTTTAATTTAATTTATTTATTTATTTTAATTTTAATTATTATTATTTTTTTAAAAATTAGTAGGCCCTATGCCCAATATGGGACTTGAACTCACAACACTGACATCCAGAGTCGCATGCTCTACCAACTGCACCAGTAGGGAGGGCATCCTGAAGGTCTCTTATTTTAAAACTTCTTTAGGTCATTTTGACTTATTAAAGAGCTGAGATAATTTTTTGTTGTTGTTCCAAAAGACATATCAAGAATGTGGTTGGCATTTGGTAGGTGCTCAACACATATTTGTTAATGTAGAAAATATTTTCTTGGGACTGAATTGAACAAAGGAGAAAGAAAATAATGCTATTGCTGGTAACAAGAGTTCATCTCATGTGTCAGCAAGGAAAGCACACCAGGCAAACAAGTCTAAGAGGCCTTCAGGAGATCTCAAGGATAGTAAAGGAATCCTTGCAATTATGGGAATTTCATAACTGATGAGGGAAAAATACCACTAGAAATAAAACAAACCCATTTTGCACTATAGAAAGGATTTTTCAAATTGAATTAGCACTATGAAGGCATGTATGTTAAGTATGTTACAAATCTGATCAATATTGCAGTAATTCTCAGTTCTTTCCAAATCCAGTGTGTTTCTTTAATGTACCACACTCGTTTTCACCAGAGGCTTTGCTTATTACTAGCAAATGGGGAAGAGCTTTGAAGGATGAAAAAAAATTAATCTGGATCTAGGATTAGATAAAATACATCTGGCTCTGGCTTGAGCACATTTTATCTTAATTTATGAGCTTGGTGCTTAGCAGATTGTTCCAAGTTTACTTTATTACGTTTTTCAGTTTTGTTTATTTATTTTTAGTAATTGCCACACCCAAATTGGGGCTCGAACTCACAACCCAAGATCGAGAGTTGCATACTTCACTAACATGCTCCTCAAGGTTTTTTTATTCATTATTTATTTATTTTTTAATATTTTATTTATTTGAGAGAGAGAGAGAGAGAGAGAATGAGCGCGAGCAGGGAGAGGGGCAGGCCAAAAGGGAGAAGTGGACTCCCCACAGAGCAGGGACCCTGACACAGGGCTCGATACCAGGGCCGGAGCCCAAGGCAGAGGCTTAAGCAGCTAAGTCACCCAGGCACCCCATTCCCTCAAGTTTACTTTAAACAAGTTGTTAAAGTCTTGCCTTAAACAAGTTTGAACTTAATGGACAGCAAAGAAAATGCCAAATCTGAATTTCCTTTTAAAAATCACTATAATGTTCATTAACATATTACTGACCATGTATTCTTATTTTTAAAATCTATTCTACAAAACACTTTTATTTGGAACAACTGAATAACTTGCTTAGTAATATATAGTATTACATCCTTCATAAAGCAACATTTTGGTTAATATTTTTCTGAGTACCAAACAAGTTCTAATTTAGGCATGGTGTTTAAACCTTTTATTATTTAGACTTTTTTTTTTTTAACTAAATTGCATTTACTACAAATGTTGTCATAAGAAAAAAAATCAGAGCATCCCCATTACCCACTTAAAGGGCTATTCTGTGGAACTTACCAGGATCAATGAATTCAATGCCATTGCTGCTGAGGTTTAATTTTCTTAGCTCATGAACATCTTCGAATTCCTTGGGTCGAAGTTGGTTGATTTTATTGTATGACAAGTCAAGTTTAACAATATCTGGAGGGATGTTTTTCGGAACTTTCTTTAGCTCTGGAAAAATGAATAACATTCCGGTTATTGAGGTTTTCCCCTCTCCCCACATTCTCTGTCATTCTTCCACCTGTTGTAGAAGAGTTAGCTCTTAATGGGGAATGGGATTATCTAAAGCAGAGAATGCTGGCGTGAACAAGACTTAGAAAGTCTGAATTCCACCAAAGCCCTGTGAACCAGGAGGTCACACTTAGAGGAACGGCCATCACTCTTTGCTGAGCTCTTCAGAGAAATGTCCTACAGGTGGCATCAAGAAATCAAGAGGACAGTAGGCACTGCGTCTTGGCCTGGTCAAGTGAGGCAGTGGGGCTCCCTCTTGGCTGTCCTTTTGAAGCACCTGGGAAGCTTTAGAAAAAAAATTAAGAACCTGAAAGGAAATGAAGCCAACCAAACTAGTCTATGTGTGTCCCCTTCCAATCCCTTCCCACCCACTCTACGGGTTTTCACTATTTAACTACTGCCTCTTTGTTGTATTTTCATTTCATCCCTCTTCTTCTGTTCCTTCTGGCAACAAAGAAGCTCAGGTCTCTCCACCCTAAAAAAGGAACAAAACGCTTTTGACCTTAATGGTCCTCAAGCTGCTATCTTATTGCTCCTTTCCTTGGATGCTAAAATTTGAGAAAGCGTAGTCTTCACTTGCTCCTGCTTCCTCATCACCACATCCCCTGAATCCTTGTGATTTAGCTTATACTCCACCACTCCTAGATTACTGGATACCTCAGGAACAAAAATACTGGTATTACTGTTACTGCTTCTATAGAAAGAGCCTCTGGTAGAGGAGTCTGGGTTATTTTTCACAGGTTAATAGGAAATCAGGGTTCACCTAATTTGTCTTTAATATTTGTTTCTCTTTAAATCATGCTTCAAAAAGTTGTGTTTATTTTATATTTTAGCGTAATATTTGTCCTTTCTCTTAATCTTTAGCAAAATATTCTGAGGTTTAATTTTATGTAGGACAAGGGAAAACTGAAAAGACAAAACTATTTCCGCAAAAGAAAACTAGACACAATAAAATGTCTAGATTAACTGACACCCAAGAAATAGCATGGCCCAAAGGCTTTCTGAATAAAGTCTGTTGAACTGAACTCTGTAGAGTAAAATAAGCTTATAAAAGGGAGTATCCATTTATCCATAATACCCTTTTTGGTACAGAATAATTGAATTGCTAAGAATTTCTTCAAAATAGTAAAAAAAAAAAAAAAAAGAGAGAGAGAGAGAGAAAAAGCTCTGGTATTTAGGACTTCTTATCTCATAATATCTTTACTTCCATAAAGACTCAGGCTTATTTTTTCCCTCTCTTGACACTCAGAACCCATGGTCTCACATGGAATAGTATTGGTAGTTCCTTCTTTAGTATCCTCATTATTGCTAAATTTGATTTCTCTCCTGGATGGGATCTCAGTATCTTGATATCTATGTGTAGGAACTGTTCTAAGTGTTCTAACAAGTATTAAGTGACAAGAACCCCATGGGCTAAGTACTATTATTATTTTCATTTTACCGATGAGGAAACTGGATACAATTTGCCCCAAGTCATAGTCCTAGGATTTAAACACATATGCTGTAGCTTCAGAATATATACTTCCAACCACTATGCTCTGCTGCCTGTTTGTTCCTGGTACCTTTCTGCTTCACTCATGTTGTCCCATTTTCCTTAGAATCCTCAAGCCTGGCAAAGGGTAAAGTTGGAATGTGGGAGAACTGAGGTGGAGTCAATATATTGGGGTGGTCATGAAACTTTCCTAGCTCTATATTTAAAATGACATCGCCCAGTTTTCTGGGCAATAACATTAATACTACCTTTACCTGCTTTAGTATACATTTTACTGATGGCTTTCATTGTTGTCTCCTGCCCACCATAGAAGCTTCATGGTGGAGGCTTAGAACAATGCCTAATATATCCTAAATAAATAATGGTATGTGGCAGAGAGCTTCTAAAATGGCTCTCGGGTAGCCCAGGTGGCTCAGCAGTTTACTGCCGCCTTCAGCCCCAGGTATGATCCTGGAGACCTAGGATCAAATCCCATGTTGGGCTCCCTGTGTGGAGCCTGCTTCTCCCTCTGCCTGTGTCTCTGCCTCTCTCTCTCTCTCTCTCTCTCTCTCTGAGAATAAATAAATAAATCTTTAAAAAATAAAATAAAATGGCTCTCAGTGCTCTTCCCTACTGATACGTATGTCCTTGTGTCAACCCCTCCCCTTGAGTATGGCCTAAATCTAGTGACTTGTTTCCAACAACAGAATTCAGCAAATGTGATGGGATGTCACTTCCACAATTAGGTTACAAGAAATTATGACTTTTGTTTTGCCAGCAGACTCTTTTCTGCTGAATTTGATGAAGTGAGCTGTCATGTCAGAGAGGCCTGTGAATTAAGGGTGGCTTCTGGGAAACAGCCAGCAAGGAACTCAGGCCCTCAATTCAACAACCCTTGAGGAACTGAATTCTGCCAATGGCCATATGAGCTTGGAAGAAGAGTCTTTCCCAGTTGAGCCTTCAGATGAGTCCACAGGCATGAGTCTTGCTCAATACACTGGTTGTAGCCCTGTGATAGATCTGGAAGCAGAGGACCCAGCTAAGCCATGTGTGGTTTCCTCACCCACAGAAACTGTGAGACAATAAATGTGTATTATTTCAAGCCACTAAGTTTTGGGGTGGCTCATCACAGTCAGCAACAGATAATATATTGTAAATATATAATAAAAGCTCATTAAATGTTGAGTTTAATGATTTAAGAATACTAAGGATTCTTATAATAAAAATCCTTTTAGGGATCCCTGGGTGGCGCAGCGGTTTAGCGCCTGACTTTGGCCCAGGGCGCGATCCTGGAGACCCGGGATCGAATCCCACGTCCGGCTCCCGGTGCATGGAGCCTGCTTCTCCCTCTGCCTGTGTCTCTGCCTCTCTCTCTCTCTCTCTCTCTCTCTGTGTGTGACTATCATAATTAAATAAAAATTTAAAAAAATCCTTTTAAAATATGATCTGGGGCACCTGGGTGGCTCAATCAGTTAAGCATCTTTGGCTCAGGTAATGATCCCAGGGTCCTGGGATCGAGTCCCACATCTGGGTCCCTGCCGAGTGGGGAGCCTGCTTCTCCCTTTCCCTCTGCAGCTCCCCTTGTTTGTTCTCTCTCTGTCTCAGATAAATAATTTTTTTAAATAAAAAATTAAAATAAAAAAAATAAAATATGGAGTGATCTTATTTTTGTCCTTTGGTAAGTCATTGTTCTGTTTGGCCTAGAATTTTGTCTGCCAATATATTGAAAAGTGAAAGATTTTAAGACTTGAATTTATTATAATATTGCAACGGCATAGTAATCCTCCCTTGAGGATCATTAAGACCCTGACGGGAGAGTTATATTCTCTCTTGGGTCCTACATGTAAACAAGGAGGTGGAGATCCCAGCAATAATTAAAAACCATGGAGACAACTGAGGACAGATCAAAGACATTAAATGTTTGGAATAATTATTGAAAATGTCTGTGGCATCTTTTTAGAGAGCTTTTAAGAGCGGAATAGAGTTTATTTCAAAATACCCAAGATCTCTTCTCTTTCTAGTTCCTCCACTGGTAGCTACCATATTGGTCTAAGCCACCATCAGCTCTTGTCTGGATTATCCTCCAAAGAGTCCTAAGCCCATGAGATACTGTCTAAACATAGATTATGTCATTTTCCCTGATGGCTTCCAATCCTCCACAGGGTAAAATCCTCCCATTGTTCCCCTCGCACTATGAATAAAAGCTCAAGTCCTCATTAAGATCCAATGAAGCCATTAAGGACTTGCCACCACAGGCAGTATCTCCTAGGTTCTGGAAAGCAGGCTCTTTATCAGGACTTGTTTGCTGGGTTGGACATGTGGTGGGTGACAGAGACCTCCCAAACAACCACTGTAGAACAAGCTGAAGTGGGTAAACCACAAATAAATGGGTAGAAAAAAATGTTTATGAGAACTCCCGGAAACCCAGTTTAAGCAGCGTGACAGGCCTGTGGATGCTGGAAAGGGACTATGAATTGCAGAACCAACTTTGGCATTGTCAGCAGTAAAAATAGGGTAAAAATAGGATCCACAAGTAAAACCAGGAAATGTAACCCAGAGCCTTTACTGGTTTGGCTTAGAAAAACATGGAAAAATCTTATTTGTTACACTGATGAGTAAGAACAGTTCTTTAGTTCTTTTAGACTTCAATGAGAATCGCAAATATCAATGTTAAGTGTGTGTGTCTTTGATAAAGATTAAATACAAATTCCCTCAGGCCACAAGTCAAATTTGGTGCATAATGCCCCCATTTCTAGACCAGGCACCATGTAGTTATTTGCTGCTACTTAAGATTCTTGGTAAACACTCAAAAAAATGCCTCATTTACCCTTGACAAGTCTTATGACTCCCCAACCAAAACCTGCTGAGTTTGAGTGAACTGGAAACTTTTCTCCATGGAAGTTCCCATCTAGTGGGCTATCTTAGTTGTCAGCAGTGTCAGAACTACTTTGAAGGCAAAGAGCCATAAATGACCCCAATTTTGCAAATAAAAACTTAATTATTGCTCAGACTAGCAGTGAAATTAACTTCAGAGACAACTGAGAGCAATTTACCTGCATAATTTTCCCTGGCCCTAATTCATTAGAAGTAAAATGAATCCTGAAAAATTGTAAATTATTCTGGTAAATACGAAGCTTAAATGCAGTTTTCAACTTTCACTTTCATGTATTTTTGGCAAATCCATTTACCTCAATATGGCATAAACATGCCTTTCAACTAAGGTCACATTTATTCCCTTTGAAAGACTAAATTTTGTTGGCCAAGTGCCTGTCCCCCAGTGAGTAAAGCTACTATTTCTTTTTCTTGCTGTCCAATGTTTAAGGCAAAATTAGTGATCTTTGAGGTCTATGTGGTCAAACTGGCACATATTGGGTACCCATCGTCTGCCAGCTGGGAAGGCACAACTCCTGAGTTAGGAGAATCTGTATTTGGGTTTCCTATGTGTCTTCATGTACATGGTATATTGTACAGAGCCTAAGAGGAGAGTCAGTACTGGGAGAAAGCACCCAGAACGCTTTTATACATTTTTCTTGGTTAACAGATATACATAGAATCTTGAAACAAGATATGATATTGCATGGAGGTCAATGGCTTGGGGACTGCCTCTGTGACCTTAGAAGGGCAACTTAACTTGTGTACCTTAGTTCCCTCCTTTATGAGAATAATAACAGTGCTCTTTGAAGATTATGAAGAGGAAATTACATAATGCACATAAACTGCTATGTCTTAGGCACACGGAGCATTCAGTTGACAGCTCTTATTCACTAATGAGATCTACTTTTAATAGCAGGTTTTAGGCTTCTTTGGATTCTACATAGTATCTAACATGTGGCACATAAACAAAAGTATCACTATACTTTGGCAGGGATTCTTCACATTTGACATTTGTTATTTATTTATAGAATGGAATAAGGAAAATTATAGTAGATTAAATTCAGATTGTCATACTTGAATTCTAGCCATGATTTTTAATTCTATGTATTTTTATTTCTAAAGGTTGTTTAAATTACTGCTTTCGCAAGAGAAGAAAGCACTTCCATTATTTGATTTTATTTTTTTAAGATGTTATTTATTTATTTATGAAAGACAGAGAGAGAGAGAGAGAGAAAAGCAAAGACACGGGCAGAGGGAGAAGCAGGCTCCATCCAGGGAGCCTGATGTGGGACTCAATCCTGAGAGTCCAGGATCATGCCCTGAGCTGAAGGCAGGCGCTAAACTGCTGAGTCACCCAGGGATCCCCAGCACTTCCGTTATTATCATCAGTCTAAAGCATATGGCCCTGTACCAGGCACTTACCTGGGAGTAAGAGGTTTAAGAGCTAAGACCATTGCCTTTAAACTTCTGGGAATCAACAATACACCATGATGAAAAATAAACAATCAACTGAATCAACAGGTTTATATCAACCATAGTGAAAGCAATTTATATTGATATTTAAAGACAAAACTACCCTTCATTTTGTAATCTGAAAGGTCTGTTCTCTGATTTATGTAGTCATTATCGTTTGGAGGAACTTGAGTTGTCCTTTCATGGATGAGCCAGTGTTATAAAGTGTGTATGCCATGAAGCTTTATATTATTTCCAGTATATAAATGTATATTTTAAAACAAGGGACATTATCTGCCCTCCTAATTTATGGGACATACCTGGAAGTTGCATTTAGACAACAGTAAATTGAGGAAAGAAAAAAAAATTTAAATGTATCTGTTTTTATAAGCTGATGTTTGCCAAAAGAAAATGAGGCAAAAATATCATGGAAAATAAGAAAAGGCAGAAATAGCCTCATTGTGAAGGGAAATGGCAAAGAGCAATAAAGCCATAAAAGAGGAAGATATTTCCCTTCATATTATTTTTTTATTTTTATTTTTTTATTTTTTATTTTTTTTTAAATTTTATTTTTTATGATTTTATTTATTTACTCATGAGACACAAAGAGAGAGAGAGAGAGAGAGGTAGAGACACAGGCAGAGGGAGAAGCAGGCTCCATGCAGGGAGCCTGACGTGGGACCCGATCCCGGGTCTCCAGGATCAGGCCCTGGGCTGAAGGCGGCGCTAAACCACTGAGCCACCGGGGCTGCCCCCATATTATTTTTTTTAAAGTAGCCTCCACATCCAGGGTGGAGCCCAGGCTTGAGCTCACAACCCTGAGATCGAGAGGCAACGCCTAACCGACTGAGCCACCCAAGTGCCTCCGTGTTATTTATTCTTAAATTACAGTGTAATTTAGCTATAGGTCTTCAATTTTGTGTTAATGGCATTTTTTAAAGATTTTATTTATTTATTAATGAGAGAGAGAGAGAGAGAGAGAGAGAGAGAGAGGCAGAGACACAGGCAGAGGGAGAAGCAGGCTCCATGCAGGGAGCCTGACGTGGGGCTCGATCCCGGGTCTCCAGGATTAGGCCCTGGGCTGAAGGCGGCGCTAAACCGCTGAGCCACTCAGGCTGCACTTAATGGCATTTTTCTTAATCAATGAACCTAACTGTAAGTATTTTCTCCTTATCACCTGACGTAGCAAGTGCGAATTAACTTTAGCTTGAGGGGAGAGCCTCTGTTGTATTCATGTAATTTTTCTTTTTTTTTTCATATAATTTTTCTAAATCAAGTCTAGGGTTAGTAGCTTTGTATTAGTTTCTTGAATATATAATTTAAGCTTCTAACCTAAGCATCCCAAAGGCCTTCCTAGTACAACATGCTCTTCAGCATGGGGCACTAAGTACTCAGTGCAACAGTGTCAGGGAAATTCTACCCAATCTGGTTGTGGAGAAATGGCATAAGCTGACTTATCTGGAATTCTTTGATGCTTCTACTGTTGAGGCAGTTTTTTGGTTAAACATGATCAGATTAAGGAGGACGGCAAGATTAGGCAGGCCAAGGTTCAAATCTTAGCCTTGCTGTTTACCTTTCCAGGTCACATGGCTGTGATGTGCTCTAACCAGGTCCCCCCTCTGGAGTCTGGGAGAGGGGGCAAGGCTTGGGCACTTATTTGCTGATAAATGAACACATTTTCTCCTGGTTCAGGTTGCCTGCTGCTTCGGGCTCAACTAATTCCTGCCTATGGTTCCCCCGAAAGGAGCCAAAGTCTCTGGGTTGCTCTTAACCTTCTCTTTCTGTTCTTAAAGAAATGAAACAAAGCAAAACCTCCTAAGTGGAAGAAATAGCACCTTGCTCTGATGTGACCCTAATTCAATGACATCTAGCTTTAATTGAATATTACGTATAAGTCATCAATCCATGCAGAAATGCAGCAGACACTGTCCCACAGAACAGTTGTCCCGGGTGGATTAGCAGGTCCCAGACCACACTTTGAGAACGTCTTCACTAACCCATCAAGACCATTACTGAAAGTTCCCATTTTCTTATTTCGTAAATTAATCCTGTATATGGAGACCCTGCACAACAGTATCAGAGCAAGACTGCGTGGGACAATAAAACCCAGCAAAGATTTTTCAGGAAGAAGTATTCTGGAAAGAGTTCATAATTCTTGGATTAAATATTTTCAATTTAGTTCTTTCAATATTTTTTGGTTTTAATTTGGGAACAGGGAAGATACAAGATGTTAGCAAGCATGTATTAAAACCTTGACACCAATTCTTAGAAGTACAGACACTGGTGGTCACTACATCCCACCCTGCCCCTCTCTCGTGGTCCTGTCACCTGTCTCCGTTTACACATGATCCTCCTTGAGGTAATTTCCCCACGAATGCATGCCATGTTTTTGCTTTCAGCCACATTATATAGAGAGCATTTGGACCTGTTTTTATACCCCTTGTTTACCTAAATTCTATTACGCTGTGATATAAGAAAAGGAGATTCTTGACAGCCACAGCTTTTGATTAGCAAATTCAGAGTAGGACCCAAGGGGCTGCCTTTCCTAAGCAACTCTACTGGCCCGCAATCACCAATCACTTGGAGTCTGAACCCTGGAAAAGCTTGGAGTAAATTCCATGGTCCCCGGGGAAAGATTTCTGGGGGAAGTCGCACCAGAAACCCCAGGCACGTTGGGGTGTAGGGTGGGGGTTATAAGATTCAGAGATCATTTTTTTTTTAATCGCCCATGAAAATGAAAAACTAAGAAACTTACAGACCTTTCCGTTTGCAGTCCAGTGTTTGTATGGGAAACACGTAATTGTAGCAAAGAGAAGAGTCCACCTCGGGCTTGATGACTGGGGGCCTCCCGGACACTTGGGGTTTCGGGTCTAATTGTTCCCTTTCCTCTTCATCGCACAACTGTTCAGGTTTTATCTGCCGCAGTTTTTTGTTTTTTAGCTCATGTGGGCTTTCGCACTTGGCGTAGTTCCCCAAGTTCCGGTTTCTTGGGATCTGCAACATTGAAATTAGGGTCTCCATCTCACAAGTGCAGTGCCAGGGGTTGTCGTAGAGGCGCAGGTAGCCCAGGAGAGGCGTGTAAAGGAACACTTCCTCCGTCAGGACTCGCAGGCGGTTGTGCTGCAGCAGCAGGGTGGTCAGTTTATTTAAACCAAAGAAGGCCTCGCTCTCAATCTTGGAGATCTCGTTCTGCTGCAGATCCAGGGTTTTCAGCCTCTTAAACCTGGAAAACATCTTGTCCTTCAGTATGCGGATCTTGTTCCTGGCCAGCAGCATGTGCAGCAGATCCGGAGGCCAGTCGGGCTGCACGTAAACCAGTTTCCTCTCCTGACAGTCCAAGTACTTCTCGTGGAGGTACGTGTAGGCCTCGCAGGGGGGCCCCGAGCCCCCCCGGGCGCCCCCCGCCCGGCCCCGGGCGCCCCCCGGGCTGGCCTTGCGGAGCTCCGCCGCCTCGCAGAGGCCGAGCAGCATCACCAGGGCGACCGCGCGCATCCTGACATCCAGCTGGCCCCGGGCCTGGACGGACGGACCGACGGCTTCCTGGGCGCTCCGAGACCCCGCGCACGTGCACCGCAGTCCCTAGGCCGTGCGAGAAAACACTGTGAACCTGGGGTGCCCGACCCTGAGCAGTCTCACAAACACGTGGCTTCCCTTACATTCGTACCGTACGGGGGTGTGATTGACGGCTGACGTCATGATGTATGACAGCATATGACCTGATGACGTGGGTATGACATGATGATTCGACTTTTGCATATGTTGTGAGATGATCACCTCAATGAGTATATATATATTTATATATAAATATATATATAAATATATATATATTATATATATATTTTTTTTTTTCTTTTCAAAGCAAAGACATTGCAATGAATAAAGGCCCAGCCTGAACGGTGCCCCCTCCCGCCCGCCTGCTTTGGTGGCTGCACCTTGGGGCCCTGGGTTGGATGGAAGCCTCTCCTGCTGGCTTCACTGTGTGACCTCAGGCTACTTACCGAACGCCCTCTCCTGCATCTGTGAAGTGGGGCATGGATGCCTCGCAGGAAGCACTGCTGCCAGGAGGAGACAGGCTCAGGCGCCTGAGACTCTGCCCAGGGCCAGTCTAGGAAAAGCACCTGGCTGTGTTAGGGCTTAGCAGTAGGAAGAGTGAAACAGTGGATTCAAGAAGTTAAGGGGATTCTTCTTACAGCCTTGAGGTGTGGAAAAAAAAAAAAAAAAGTAGGTGTGCAATGACTAGGTCCTCCCAAGCTTTTTTTTTTTTTCCCCCTGTACTATCTCCCCATTAACCAACCATATTCAATGTGAGATCCAGAAATGCTGGAAGTATACTGCACAGGCCTTGTCAAATCTTGCACATGTTGGCTTGGATGTCACCTTAGCAAAGCCTTCTCTGACCACTCTGTTTAAAGTGCATCTCTTCCCACTTGCTAGCCACTCTCTACCCCCTTTTTTTGTTTTATTTTGCTCCATGCTACTTATCACCATCCGTCAAAGTAGATATGTTACTTCTTTTGTTTGCTGTCAGTCTCCCCCAACTAGGATGTGAACTCCCCAAGGGCAGGGATTTTTGTCTGTTTTATTCACTGCTGTATTTCTAGCATCTGTAGAATCTCTGGCACGTAGAGGGCTCTTGGTAAACATTTGTTGGATGCATGAATTACTGACTTTTATTCTATAAAAGTAATATCATCAATTTTGTTAGACATTGTTTTGAGACTCTCTTTTCTTCCTTCCTATGTATTACTGATGACTTCTAAGATCTGCACATTGCAAAGAATTGTTTTCATTTTTAAATTCTGAAAGTGATTTTTGGTTTGCATTTATTACTTGGGACACAGTCCTAATTCTTGGCAAAGGAAGAAATGCTCAAACTTGATTTATAATTAATAACATTTCTGTTGTTATTATTGTGGAACTAAGTGGTTATGAGCAGCAAATGTGTTTTCTGTTCATGGTAGCAGTGTGAATGCCAGGATCACCCCCTTGCCGGGAGTGTTCCTGCTTGATGGGGGTCTCCCCCACTGAGAATGACTTCCCTCCCTTTGCCTCAAGCATTCCTCCCCTTTACTGTTTTGTGTCCTCTCCCCTAGATACTTCTTTTCTGTCTCTGATTTGGAGTTTCACTTCCTATCAGTCTAGACCCAGGGTGCTGAATATATAACACTTGGCTCTCTAGCTCTTTGCATACATGTGTCATCTTTCATGCAAGACCATAAGTTGGGCAGTTGCCTCTGGTCCCAGAGTTAATCAGCCACTTGGCCTTTCTGATGCTCCACTTCCCTGTCTGTAATTCACTGTACATTGTACGTGAATCTAATTTAAACGAATCATAAATATTTTGTTAATTATAATGCATGCTGAATTATTTATAATATTCATGCTGACGTATGAGGGGACATTTGCTGATGCCTGTAACTTACTTTAAAATGCATACAAAATAAAATGGATTGAAGGGCAGATGTTATTAGGTGAATATGTGAGAAAAGCAAATACAGTGGAATATAAATAAAATCTAGGTATATTCATTGTACAATTCTTCAAGTCTTTCAACTTTTCTGTGTTTGAAAATTTTTATAATAAAATGATAAAAGAAGACAAAAATGAAAAAATGTACAAAAAGTCATGCCACAAAAAAAGCAGGTTGGTTTTCCTCCCAGCTAAAAGCTCTAAATATATACTATTTTTCCCAAAGTAGTGTTTTCCTTTTTCCCCCCTTTCTTCTGTAATCCTTAAATGATAATAAACATGTGTATAAATTTTAATTTTAAAGCCAAAATAAATCAGTTTTCTGGGAAAAGGAGCATATACTTAGAACAAGTTACTTGCCAAGGTTTTTGTTTATTTTCTAATGAATACATTGCATTGAATGTAGGAAGAAAAATTTTAAGTTTAAACATTTGCACTATGTTGTTTAGTGATGTTTAACCTGTTTGATTTAGGCCTCTGTAGAAATCTGCAAGAGCTGAATGTCTCTGACTGCCCAACACTCACAGTGAGTATATGAAACTTATTTTACTGTTATTTATATAGATTCAGACTTGCTATATTGGAGTGCCAATACACAGAGATTTTGCCAGAATACATGCCTGTGAGCTCATTTAGGATCAAATGTGTAAAAAAGCAAAGTATGTTAAACATTGGCAAGAAATTTTATCCTGTTTGTATAATGCTATTTATTATTAATCCTGTAGCTATATGCCCAAGGTTGGAGTCCCTAGAAGGTGGAAACTATTCAAGAATTACACAAAAATGAACTATATTTACATTTAAGGCCATATGTTTGTGAGACAGAAAAAAACAGGGTCCCAGTAGAAACAACAAGCTCATTTTAATGGTCTTTATGGCTATCAATTGTGTGCCAGTGAAGATGGAAATGTAACCCTGGGCAGCTCCTTCCTGCTCTCTGTCTCCAGGCTTTTCTTTTACTTCCAATCTATCTTCCATCCTGTGAGCACATACATTTTCTTTTCTTTTCTTTTTTCTGATTTTTTAAAATTTAAATTCAATTTGCAAACATATAGCACATGTACTTTCTAAAAGGCAGATCTGATCATTTCACTCCCATTTTCCGTCATTTATACACACATTTGTCATCTACACTATTCAATAAAGTCAAAGCTCTTTAACGTTACTATATCTTGGAGACCCTCTGGTTTTGCCTCTGCCTCCTTTTCCACCCTCCTCTTGCTTCAATTCCTGCACACACATTAAGTAAGTTTCAGCAACCACACAGTCAACACTTTCTTTGCTGCATGAGCCAAGCTACTCCTTGCTTTTTGCTCAGACTGAGTTCCTCGCATGGAATCCCTTTTTGCTTTGTCCTCAGGTGTTGCTTTCTTCTTTGTCAGGCTTTAAGGCTTTCTTTAGGTACTACCTCCTTTATCAAGACAGTTCCGACACCCAGGGCTGGGTTCGTTGCTGCCCCTCTGGGTTCCTATAATAATTAGTCCTAATCACACCATTTATGCCTCCTCCATTCGCCTAAGATGCCCAAAGGGCAGGAGATGTGTCTTATTATCTGTGGTAGTCATAACACATTGCACAGACCTTGGCACATAGTAAATACTCTGTAACATTTGTTTAATGAATGAAATTGTGTGCAGATACTGAGTAGGTAAAGAATCACATGGCCTAGAACTTGAGATTCCATCTTGGGTTGATGTGTCTGTATTCTTAGTTAACATTACAGAAGTGAATATGATCAACCTAGAGAGAGAAAGAAGGTACGTAAAGAGAGTTTAGGCCTGGACCTTGCGGATTGCTGACTTTTAGAAGTAGGCAGAGGAGAAGAGATAGAGAAGAATCGTAAGAGAGAACAGTAAGAGAAGTAGGGTGAAAACAGAAGAGTCTGACTGTGTCACGCTCTTCAAACTCCAGCATGGCACACACACACCTCCCAGCATCATCATTATAGTTCTTTCAAGCTTCTGTTTAATTCTGTGGATATTTTTAGTACCTACTACATTAAAGATATGTTTATCTTTATGTATAAAGTTATATAGGGAATTTATATGCTATAAAATACAGGTGTTAGAGGCAATTTAAAGTGAATCAAGTTTTAGTTCCTGCCCTCAAGGGGCTTCAGTTCTGCACCTGAATAAAAGATCATAGTCTTTAAATTTGGCTTCCTAATAGGGAAGTCAAAACAAAGCCATCTGCACTGAATTTGTGAACATCAAAGTCTTTTCCAATTTTGGAGTCTAATACTATACAGGGCTGATAATTTTATCCAGCTACATTTTACTATTGTCTTTCTCTTTGAAGCATAGACTGGGAGACAGGCTTACATTTAAGGAGTTGAGAAACATGCATTCAAAAAGCTGGCCTTATGAATATATTATTTTCTAAGAAGCTTGCCTTATGAATATATTACATTCAAAAAGATTTGGTGCATTGTGGACAAATTCAACCGTTTTTGCAATGAAGACATGCAAACAGTTTTTGCATTTATGAGCTCAAGCATTTGGGGATTGAACCCTGAGTTTTTTTTATATGCTGAGAATAGGATTCATCTGATGTTTCTTGGATTCCAAGCTCCTCCAGACAGGAAAATGCAGTGAATGGTTTGTTTCCTTATCTTAAAGGAAAAATCAGATTCCTCTATGGTGCATAAAACACACTTCCTCTTCCTGGCCCCACATTTTCACCTTCTCTGTGGCTAGCTCCCTAAGGGTAGATAAACCAGCTTTCTATCCTCTCTTTACCCATCTCATTTGCATTTTTGCCAGTCTTTCAATAGGTGCACAATCACTTTGATATTTGATTGGCACCATGAACATTTTTGAAGACAGATTTTGTTTATATTAAATTACAATGCCACTCATTATGATTCTTCTCCCCATTCTTTCTGGGAAAATTGTACTGTATACTTTTAAAAAATATATCCACGTATACCTAAGTCTTGCATTTTAGTGGTGGAGTATCTAGAAAAATTTCCGGCAGCTTGAAGGCAGTGGCAAGAATCCAGTGTTTGTTGAAGCCCTGTACGTGCACTCATGTGGTGTCAGCACCCAGAACCTTTCCTATAGCAGAACTACCGCTTTTGCAACTGCAGGATTTTGTTATTGTAATATCCTTGGCTTCGGGAAATAGGAATAGAATGTTAAACGTTGATGATCCTGCTGAAAATAAACCTTTGCCATCCTTAGTGGTGTTGGAGGGAGCCATATTGAACACGCACAATGCTTTCCTAATCCATATCCCCTCGCCAAGTGACAATTAGCCTCTTCCTGCAATGGCCTATTCTTTCCAGGACGGATGTGCTACAAATATTTAAAACTAGCTGACCTCACTGGTGTTCCTGGGGAGACTCATCAGCTATCATTAAATAAATAAAAACCTGCTGCTACTTACTCATACTGGAACGTCTTATAAATAGTTACCCAGATGAGAAGCAGCTCCACCACAATCAAAGCTTGCAATTTATCTGGTCTTATAAATGTCAATTTAGGGCTCAGTCTTGAAATGACTGTTGTTTTCCTGTCTCCTGTCACAGTCACTGTTCTCTTGTACTTCAGTTTCAACTCCCTGGGGGAGGGTTGCTTGAATCTTTGAAACTCTCACCCACAACACCCTCAACACTGAAATTCAGGCTCAACACGTATGTAACCTATATTTTACTTCAGACCATCTCAAGTAAATTTGTTGAGAATCTGTTTGGCTATTTTAATATATTAACTAACAGGACCCACACCCCCCCCCCATTTCTTTAAATATAATGTGTAAATATTGAATCACTTTTAATGAAACCCAGTTGAGAGCATTTACTATTCCTGTCTTCAGAATGATTTTAGCAAGTTTAAAAATAGATCAGGTTTTGGGGCACCTGGGTGGCTCAGTTGGTTAAGCATCTGCCTTTGGCTCAGGTAGTGGTCCTGGGATAGAGCCCCACATCAGGTTTCCTGCTCAGTGTGGAGTCGGCTTCTCCCTCCCCCTCTGCCCCTCCCCTCCCCTGTCTCTGTCTCTCAAATAAATAAATAAATAAATAAAATCTTTAAAAATGGATTAGGTTTTAATCACTTTTATGCATCTGAGGAGCCAGGAGGGTTTGACACTTCGAAACTTGGGCTCAAATTTTCTGTCAGAGGTGAACTTGCAAGGGTTCAAATTTGAACGAAGTGTCACTGTGATGGAATGGGACTTTATCTCCAAAGAAAAGGAAGGGGAGATAGTAATGAAGCTTCGAACAAAACCATCACCTTCTGTTTAATTTGATTTACAATTAACAAAGAATATGAAGAGACCAAGGCTTGCATATACTTTTTGGGAGCAGAGAGAGAGATAGTAGGGAAATAACAAAGCCTGTTAGACTTCGATAAGATTCTTCCCTCTGTTTCTATGCAGGATGAATCAATGAGATACATCTCTGAGGGCTGTGCTGGAGTCCTGTACCTCAATCTGTCCAACACGACTATCACCAATAGGACGATGCGACTCCTGCCAAGGTAATTCTTGTGTTATCTGTATTGCCCTGAAAACACTTATGCTCCTCTAGGCTCTGGCTTGCTCTAGCATTCCCCAAAGGCAGCGTTCCTCTTGCCAACACCCCACCACCGTGGTAACAGGACCGCTGCTGTCAAGTCCCCAAGCTAGTGCCTATTCTCTCCCTCCTGGGTAGACCTGGGTTAAATAACTGGTCCTCTCCTTGGTCAGTGTTTTTGTGTCTCTTGGAGCCAAGTGCCCAGTAGCTTGAATTAGGCTACTGCGTGTCTCTTTCTGGTTCTCCTTCCTGGGCAGTGGAGCCTGGCTCTTAAATTCTAGTCCCATGTCTGGATCCTTGACAATGGAACCCCAGTGTCTTCCCTCCTTGGACCCTGAGCACTGCAGTCCCACATTCCCTGTTGCCATGCTCTGGTTAACCCGCCATGCTCTGGATCTCCACCTCCTCCAGGAAACCTGATACTGGTTGTTTTTTGATTTATGGACTGTTGACAATCCTGAACACAAATGTTGCTTTTCCTCAGCCAGTGCTTCTTTGAGGGAGAAGGGACAGAAGAATACAAGACATCACCAAAAGTTGACAGAGTATTTATATTTACGTCTTTTAACTACCACTTATTTTCACCAAGGAAATATGAATCAGGAAGAGTGGATAATCATGTTAGGAGAGATTAAAAACGTTTTACAAACTATTGTGAAAAAATGAACCATTTTTGAGATTCTAACTTTCTGGGATCCTTTGAAAAATGACAGCAAAGCATTTGCTAGAGAAAATTCTATGTGGCAGTTCCCCTTATCTTCTGTCTCTAATTGGTTTTCTGGAAATGTGCCAGCCTAAAAAAAGTGGTAACATATTTTCTGTTTATCCCATTAATTGAATTTCCACTTGTAGTCAAATCTATCAAAACTTTCCTTTAAAGTTTCTGATACTTTTTTTTTTTTTTTAATTTTTATTTATTTTTTATGATAGTCACACACAGAGAGAGAGAGAGAGAGAGAGAGAGAGAGAAAGAGGCAGAGACATAGGCAGAGGGAGAAGCAGGCTCCATGCACCGGGAGCCCGACGTGGGACTCGATCCGGGGTCTCCAGAATCGCGCCCTGGGCCAAAGGCAGGCGCCAAACCGCTGCGCCACCCAGGGATCCCAGTTTCTGATACTTTTAAACATAAAAAATTTTAAACACCTTCCAGGAGTTTGATGTCACTTATTTTTTTTTCTTGTATGATTTGTTTTTACTTAAATCTATAATCAATCTAGAATTTATTTTTGTAGATAAATGAAGCAAAGATCTAACAGGGTTCATCAAACTATGACTCGTGTGGTCCAAAGCCTGACTTAGGGCAGTCCATGAGCTAAGGATATGTTTTACACTTTCAGAGTTGTTAAATAAATAACCAATTACTCCAGCATCATTTATTGAATAAACCTTTTCTCAAGTGATGTGTGATACCTCCTTATATATCTAAGATTCTTATATAGGCAGTAAATGCTCAAAACTCATCACTTTCTAATATTGTCTACACATTACTATCACCTGTGTTCTGGATGTTATGTATGTGCATTGAATCTGCATGTGAAAATACTACATAATAGTTTGCTACTGTGCATCTCTTCCCAACTCCGTGTTCAGTAACCTCTTATTGGTAGCTTGGAATCAGCCACCAGTCAGAAGTATTCTACACCCTGGGAAGTAGCAGACAATACAAATTAGGGCTTGACTTATTTTTTTGTTGATTGTTTAGACTTGAGCAAATGATGGAGAAAAATAATAAAGCAGATTAAATTTAAAAGTTCATTGTGGGCAGCCCTGGTGGCGCAGCGGTTTGGCGCCGCCTGCAACCTGGGGTGTGATCCTGGAGACCCGGGATCGAGTCCCACATCGGGCTTCCTGCATGGAGCCTGCTTCTCCCTCTGCCTGTGTCTCTCTCGCTCTCTCTGAATGAATAAATAAATAAATCTTGGGGATCCCTGGGTGGCGCAGCGGTTTGGCGCTTGCCTTTGGCCCAGGGCGCGATCCTGGAGACCCGGGATCGAATCCCACGTCAGGCTCCCGGTGCATGGAACCTGCTTCTCCCTCTGCCTATGTCTCTGCCTCTCTCTCTCTCTCTCACTGTGTGACTATCATAAATAAATAAAAAATTAAAAAAAAAAATAAATCTTAAAAAATAATAAAATAAAAGTTCATCGTGTTTGGGGTCTTGCATGGCTCAGTCAGTTAAGCATCTGCCTTCAACTCACATCTTGATGCCAGGGGGTTGGGGTGGAGCTCGGTCCCATGACCCTGAGATCATGATCTGAGCTGAAATCAAGAGTTGGACGCTTAACCAACTGAGCCACCCATCTGCCTCCTGTACCCCTGTATTTCTAATCTTTATGTTGGTGTATTTTAGATTTGCCTTTTATATGAAGCATATAGCTAACTTCTATTTTAAAATGTTTCATTCTGCCTTTTTAAGAGCATAGTTTAGAAGATTAGTATTTCCTTCCAAGTGGAGTGTTATGGTCTTATTTTTATCATCTTGTTTTATGTTTTTGATTTTTCTGTTGCTGTAGTCCTTGTTTCCACCTTTTGCTACATAAACTATTCTGTTGACTTTTATAGTCTTTAGGTATTCAGAGGTATGTGCATATTCTGTTCTGTATTCCAATCAGTGGCTATTTGTATGGTTTTTTAAAATATGCTTTTACTATGTCTTTCTCCAGTTATCAAAATCATGATGGAACAACCATTTCATATTTTCATATTTGTGATGATGCTTATGATTATGTAGTACTGACTCTAGTTTCGTCATTCATTGATGGTCCATTTGTTCCACAATTTCCTTATTCTTTAAATCTGATTTTTTCCAATGGTGACTGTAAATATAGTTTTAAAAACTTTTATTCAAAAGATAAACAAGTGTTAGATTTTAGGCCCTTGTTTTCTGAAAATTACTTTCTTTTGTCTTGGAGGGTGAACAACAACTCCTCTTGGTATGTAGTTCTTGAATCATGTCCCTTACTTTCTTCTTAAAATCCTACAAATATTGCCCCTTAATCTTTGATATCTCAGGTTAAAGAGAAGGGTAAAGCTTGATTTTTTTTTCCCTTTGTTAGTAACCTTTTTTTTCTGCCACTATGCTTACAGGAATTTCCTTTTTTACAAAGGAATTAAAAACATTTTCCAAGTTTACTTGTATCATTTTAATTAACTTTCCTGGAACATGTAAATGTTTTGAACATTAAAACTGAAACCCTTTATCAGCCAAGGAAGGTATTTTTCTTTTTAATGCTTCTATTCCATTTGTTCAGGTGTTATCTTAAGAATTCTCTTTTATTTGTAGGTTGAATTTTTATTCCTGTCTTTCAAAGGTGCCAGCATCGCTCTTGCCATTTTTGTCTCTGTATACATTTCCTCAGCATACTACATTCTATCAGTAGTTCTCAAAGTGTGTTCCAAGGATACCTGTATTCCAGTAATTGTCTAATAACTAGTTTATGTAGGGGTTAAGGATATGTTCTGATTTGTAGGATTTACTGATTTATGTGATATAAAATACTACCACCATGATCAATTTTAATATACCAACATGATGTCATTGTATGTGGAGTTGGGAGTTGGCTCTCAGGGGCTGGTGCAAGCCAGCTCCAATGACACCACTGTGGAGGGCCCTGACCCTCTCAGGAATTCTAGAAGGTTCTCTAGTCCTCCAATATAGAATATTAATCAGTACTTTTCTTTAGGCATTCCATATTGAGATATATATGTGTATGAGTATTTGTGCATGTATGAATGTGTGTATGTGTATATGTATGTATAGAAACACAAAGAGAGAGAGAACATACATGTTTTTGTGTGTGGAGAGAGAGAGAATACATTACAAAATCCATTAAATCCATATGTGAAAATCTGAACTTACAAAGTAGATGATTTGGGATATTGTACTTTGAGATAATCTTTTCTCCTAGGAAATTTAAAATAATAGTACAACCACGCATAGTTTTTTTTTTTCCACGCATAGTTTTTTAGGGCCATTTATTGTACAAATGAAGCCGTACCATTAGTGGGCAACAGTTAGAAAAACAGGACCCAAAATGAGAATTTTGTTTTAATTTTAACTCTAGTTCTTGGAATTGAGAGAACATCCAGGGTAAATGCACTGGATATTAATGATTTTTGTCATATGAAAAAATATTCACTGACTTTCTTATCTATGATAAAAATACATTTCATAATGATTCTCTATTTTTGCTCTGTTTTCCATTGTTTCAAATATGCTTGGGTATGCAAAAGTGTTCTTTATACTATAAATAACTGGAGAAATGTTGTTTGTGCTGTTGTCATTCTCTCTCCAGTGCCTTTAGCATTTTTTTCCAAAGAAATCACTTACCAGAAGAAAAATATAATTTGCTTGCCCATCGTGACAACATTGATTTGCCAGCATCTTATTTGAACATTTTCCCTTGCTTCCTTGGGGACTTACTGAGTTTTCTAAAGTTGAAAATGAGGGCTGCTCCTAGCTCATACCCATTCCAGGACATTTTTACTTCTAAATATTTCCTGAATCAAACCCTTTCCATTCATTCTACAACCTAGGTGGCACTCTCAGCACTCCTTTTGCCATAGCGTCCTGACGGTTCACTCTTGGTCTCTCTTCAATCTATTTTGCCTTATGCGATAAGTATCATCTTGAACAACAGTCTTGTCTTTGATGACAGGCTTAAGGTCTAGACTCTTCCCTTGCCGTCCCCAACATTATCTGATCAAACCTACCTGCCCAGAATTCCCAAGGGAGGCCCTTAACTCTGGTCATCAGATTGCTGCATGCTTCTCATTCTCTACAGCTGGAATGCTTTTCTCCTCCTCTCTGCTACACCATTGCCTTTACATCTCAAGTCATACCATCTTACCAGAATTCCACAATGATTTCTCCTTTTCCTGAATCCTAATAGCAACAACTTATTCACCATGTATTGATCAGTTACTGTGTGTGAGACAATCTGGGCATACAGGAGTGAATAAAACTATTATGATCTTTGCTCCTTAATGGAGCTTCATGTGTTATGGTGACACGGTGTTTCATTATTTTTCATACTGACCCTTCAGTTGGCTTGGAGACTTATTCATAGTCTTATCAGTAACCATCAGAGTGAGGCAGACACAGTAAGCTATTGCCTTGACTGAACATCCTCAAAATCTACCCTATGAATAAGATTGAAACACTGTATTTGGATTTCTGCAGAAATTTTATTATGCAAAACTGCCTTGTGAAACTAAAGAACTCAACACTCAAAAGAAACTGCCTGCAAATCCTTTCTTTTTACAGACGAGGCCTTGTCTTGGTGATTTTTCAGAGAGATTTTTGTTTAAATACATAATTCTATGTTCCTTCCAATAGTAATTCCCTCAGGTATTGGTGATCTAACACAGAAGGTTTCAATTCTTTAATGGAAAAAAAGCCGAAAGAAAAGAGAAAAAGTGATTTCTGTTGTTTCTATAAGAATTGTGACCTCTTAAAGTTTATGGTAGCAGTAGAAAAATAAATCACCAAGGGAGCCCCTCCCCCCATTAGAAATACTTAGTTTATCAAGTAATTAGGAAAAGATAAACACAGCCTTCAAACTCTGCCTCAAAGTGGAATTAGAAACACCAAGTTGTCTCTGGCTTGAGAAAATGATGAACCAGATCTTACTCACGTAAGGGAGTAAAAATCCAGAATAAAAAGTTGCAGTATTGCATAAAATTTACCAAGTGATTTCACTGTCAACTAATTATTTTCCCATCCCCAACAGCTTTAAGTCTGTAGCCCTGTAAATCCCTAGAAAGGCCTATAGGGGCACTCAGGGTTCCTCCTGTGCTTGGTTTTCAAACGGATGGCTCCCAGGAGGTTCCACTTTGAAGACAGCCATCTAGGGACTTTCAATCTGGGAACCATTTAGTCCGGTGAACAACTTCTTTTGCCAAACCTGAGGTTCTTAACCTGGGGTCAGTGGATCCCCCAAGGAGACCAGGTTCCCTGAATTTGGTGAGGGGAAGATCATCTCTATTTTCATCAAGCTTTAACTGAACTGTAGGTTAAAAACTCAGAGTAGCATTAGCGGTTCCTGGGACTTTTTTTACCATATAAATCTCAAGTGTTTTATTATAGTTGATACAAGTATCTCAAAGTATCACTGACACTCATCAATACTTCAAAATCATGGGTAGTTATTAACCCTACCACTAGAGCTTGTTATTTAATACGCTGATAAAGAAGCACATAATTTATTATTCCACTCATTTGGCTATAAAAAATTTTGATAGTGATATCTTTCAATATAAATAGCTGCTTTTATAATTTTAAGTGTTTTATTTTACACATTAAAAACATTATGCTGACCAAGGGTTCATAGACCCAGAGGTGTCTGTTACACACAAAAAAGTTACGAACTCCTCATTCAATTCCTATTTTTAGTATTTTGAGTAAAAGGACTTTTAGTATTGAGTGTTAGGACTCAAAAAAATCAAACAGTAGGCTTGGACTAGATTTGAATATATTTGAATATGCATAATTTTGTAAGTAATACCTATATTATTTTAATTAAAGATAGGCTAATCAATATAGAAGTTAAAAATAGGTTAAGAACAGTCTGCAAATGAGTGGGCAACACGTGAGGGGAATAAAAAGTATTTTGGAGGCTACCAGTCTCACTGGAGTTAAAACAGATTAAATAGGGCATTAAACCTTGACCAAAATTAGGATGTAGATGTAACGTGCGGTCTTCCAAACTCTTGGAATCAGTTGTATGCACCACTGTTGTCAGATGAGTATTCATTCCATTACATGGAAGAAGATAGAATGAACTTCTTAAGAATAATTAATATTCTATTATTTGAAGTAATTGTAGCAATAATATAGATTTTAAAGCTCTACCTGCTGAGTTGAATCATCAAAAGTCATCCTTAATATAATACTGTTCCATCTATGTTCTTATGTAATTGTCATACCTCTAAAAGGAAAGCAGATAGAATTACATCCATGTTACAGACGAGAAAACTGGGATTCAAGAAAGCTGGTCAGGGTTAAAAAAAAAAAGGGAGAGAGACAAAATATTATAATCTCCACTTAACAGATGCAGAAATAATCTCTGAGAGGTTAGGGAAGTTGCAGTAAGTGTCAGGGCTGAAATCTGAATCCAGTTTGGTCAGATCCCAAATCCTTGTGTATTTTCCATTGTGTCGTACTGTCAGCCTTACTATTCCTTTCTCCAAATTAGAGAGCTAAAGGCTTGTTAGCAATGACAACCTCCCACACACCCCCAAGAAAACTGTACTTTACTCAGTTGAATCACAAGGGTACACTCCAGGGAGAGGAAGATAAAGCGTTCCAGAACTTTAGCGTAGCTCTTGGCTAACTCAGGGGCCCCAGGAGAGGGGACGTGTCCTTGGGATGTTAGTGCTGCTTTCTGCTCCATGGCCCTGCCCACAGCCACTGGGGAACCCAGATGGCGTCCCCCTTTGTTCTGTTGAGTTTCATGGACATTGCTAGAGGGGAATGTGTGTTCTGCATCAAATAAGTCACTATGGAATGGGAATCATTACATATCATATAGATGTGTTTTCAAATTTTAGGAATAAATCTGATTAACTGTCAATGCTTATGTATCTTATTTCCCATTTATGTGAAAGTAAATTTTACTTGTCATTTGTGGGCTTTTGAGGGACAGAGAGGCATCATCTTCCCACTTTTTGTTCTTTTTGCTTTCCAATTTGCTGTTAAACTGTTGCAGATCACAAACCAAGAGTATGTTGTTAATTCCATTACAAGAGCGAGCAATAGTGGGAGTTCTTGCACTTTTAAAAAATGCCAGACTTAGGAAGGCTTGGAAAATTGTCCACAGAATGTCCTCAAACAGTAAGCCCCTGCACGGTAGTACAGGCTCATCTTAATTACCCTCCTTTTTTTCTGGAAGCAATCATTTTGGTCATGGTGGTAATGCCATATTTAATCTGTTTGAACTCCAGTGAGATTAATAGTCTCTGATGTCGGTTTTATTCCCTTCATGTGTTGCTCAACTCATTTGCAGATTGTTCGTTTTAACCCATTTTTAAGCTCTTTGTATCAATTAGTCTTTCTTTAACTGAGATAATGAAACACTTACAAAATCATGCATATTCAAATGTTTTTTTTTTTTTTTTTAACAACCATTTGCTTACCATGTCCGTTTTAGGAGCTTGTTATGTTTAACTTTGCCTCCTTTCTGCCCCAAATCCTCACTGTCATGCAACAGTTAATTGCCATTTAAGTGTTTACAAAGGGTTTGTCCATCTAGACATTTTACACATTGTTTTGGTGCTCCAAAAAATCTAAATGCAACAATACTGCAAACTCTGTAATTTTGGTTTCAAACACTAACTAACATCCACACCATATAAATGCACAAACATCCCCCACCCCTAGAGCTCTCCCCCAATTAGCCTTATAAAAAAAATCTAGGCAAATCTGTATTTTCATTTAAAGTAGCATTATGCATTATTTGATATGCCACTCCAAGCTCCTTCACCTAATGGTAGGAGAATTAACAATTAGGCTCAACTGCTGAATATCTGCAAGGAGAAAAGATTAATTTATAGTTTTACTTCTCTTTGTCATAAGTGGCTTAAGAAAGATGTGGAAAACGATTCAAGCAGAGTCCCTTTCCTTTCTCTCTTCTCTCGCCTCTGTCTTTTCAGGTACTTCCCAAACCTACAGAATCTCAGTTTGGCTTACTGCAGAAAGTTCACAGACAAAGGTTTACGGTACCTGAATTTAGGGAATGGATGCCACAAGCTCATCTATTTGGACCTTTCCGGTTGCACCCAGGTTTGTCTCTCAGCCTTCTCTTTCCTGCAGCAGGCGAGGAAGTCCTCCGGGGGCCGGGCTACATCCAGCCCTCATGTTATACTAATGCTGTGCACGGACTGCAGCACACTTTTCAGAGGTTTTGAATTACACAGCCACAGCTGCTTAAATTTTCCCCAGGATCGCTACTATAGGCTCCTGGCTTCCTTCCACTGGAGTGTGTCACATCCACACACGGGCCGAGCTCATTGGATGATGAAACAGACCACTTCTGTGCAGATACTTTGAGCACAATTATAATACCAGAGTCCAAATGTTGAAAACTTTAGAACTGCTACCAAGATACAAACAAAGGAAAAGCCTTTTGGGGAGGGGAGAATTTGCAAAGCACTTCCTGAAAAGTCAATTAGCACCCACATGGGCTTTCCAAAAATAAATAGCACTGGGTAAAATGCTGGAAGGGCTCAATGTAGCCAAGGAAATACAACAAAGATTGTAATTTTTAAAAATGCATTATATCCTTGGGCTAAGTAACGTGGAGACTGGAGATCTACATGGGGAAATAAATTGAAGTCCAGGGGGACAAGGTGAAGGAAAATTGGGTAGAAAATAGGGTGGAGCTGTGCAGGGTAAACCATGGCACTTTGGGATGAGTTACTACCTCACTGGTAGTTTCTTCTGCTCTATTTGGGCAGATTTAAGTCGTGGCCCTTTTAACTTCTTTTCTTCTACCTCTCTGTGTATTTTGTTAATATTAGTATCATAGTATGTTCATCCTTCTATGAAAATAATGTAATAGCACAGCTGAGAACTGGCTGCGACACTGAGAGTTCTCATTTACTGAGCTGTCACTATATGCTGGGCACCATGTTGAGTGCTTTACACACATCAGTATCACTCCTCATACAAGTGCTATATAGTGTGTATTTATTACACCCATTTTAGAAATGAAGAGACCATGGCTCCCCAGGTTGCACACCCAGTGAAGGCCCTTAGTGCTGGTGCGAGTTAGGAGCACCTGCTGGTACAGATGTAGACAGGCAGTGCTCTGGAGTGAATACCAGCCTAGTACCAGTTCCTTCTCCAAGTTCTTAAGTGGGTAGAGCTTAGCTACTCACATCACTGGCATTCCATGCTTCCCTAGGCACTGGGCGGTTTGGAGGAGGCAGGGGAAAGGCTAGGAGGGCTTCTAGCTAGGGGTGGAACATCTAGAATTTACATTTATTTCTGATCTTCTGATGTGTAGCTTGCTAACCATCAACATCTACTATCACTCCATGACCGACATGGACTTAACATTCTCTTCAGCTTAACTAAATTTGAGACAGGCTTTTCCTGACTCTAGCCCCTGACCGCCCTTTTCTTAGGGCATTTTTGTTTTAAAGATTTTATTTGTTTATTTGAGAGGAAGAGAGAGACTGAGCCCAGGACCCTCAGATCATGACCTGAGCCCAAGGCAGATGCTTAACCGACAGAGCCACTCAGGCGCCCCGAGCATTTATTTTAGAAAACTTGCAACTGTACATTCTTTCTTTGCTCTCTTTGAGATAGATAGAAACCTCATTAAAAGCTTCTTGCGGGTTTTACGTCCCAGGAATGTCTTCCTAAAGGGCCCGGAGCCATCCTTTGATACGTAAGCATTAGGGGAAATAGTACTGGTATCTCCCAGTCTTGGTGGGAGGGTAGATGCTTACTCTCAACTCTGGGTGTCGTTTAGCAAACACAAAGGGCCTAATCACAGAGAAAAATATTTGCAAGGTCAGGGATAACTCAATGTGCATGACACATCTCTCTAAAGATTCATCCTCCAAGATTTTTCCACCAGCTCCCCCAGTGCTTAAAAACCCTCGCTGCAGTGTAGCTTACCTCCTTGTTCTCAGTTCCCACAAGGTAATGATTTTCACAAGGTAGCAACAACATACAACTCATACACAGACACAAAAACACACATACAAATGTCCTAGGGATAAATATTCTCAGACACAGTAAAGTCAAAACGAGAGGTTGCAAATCAATGTGCCTCTGGCCAGATAAACACACAAAACACACAGACAAGTGTTGATCTATTTTTAAATTTTGAGCCAACATTTAAAATTTTGGAGTTTTCATAAAGAAATCTAGACTTTAAGTTTCTCTTAAAAAACTGGCAAAACCAGCGAAATTGGGCCTGCATTGCCATATGGCTACAAAGGGCCAGCACCGAGTTGCCCTTACCCCCTTGAAATGGAATGCTGGCCTCGCCTCCACTCAGTAGGGTCCACACATGCCCATAGGCCTCTCATGCCACTGCCTCCCCTGCCTGTCCTCAGTGGGTATTTAAGTTTGGTCTGAATGTATAAAGAGTAGATTTCTTTTCCTGATTGTCCCTTAATCTGTAAGTCTCAAACCACCGTGAAGTTAGGATCACATCACTATGCAAATAGAGTTAAGTTTCTTTCGTTCATCCATCTTCCACTCCCATCTGTGTATTTCATAATTCAACCGAGATGTAACCCCAGGTGTCAGACACTGTTTCAGTCACTGGAAATTGTGCCATTTGAAACCGAGCCCCTTTAGGCCCACTGGGGAGTAAGAAATGAGCTCGTTATGAACCCCAGATATCTCTAAAATGACTGCTGCCCTAGATGCAGGAAGAATGGGTGAAGCTTGGATGTTACTGCTTCAGAGGGATTTGTGAAATTCTATGAGGAGGCTCTGTTCACTTCCCCAGCTCTGGGTGTGAGGACAGTGTCACTCTTCCAGGCCTGCTTGTATTGATACGATGGTACAAAAATGGTTTCAAAGAAGGAAAACTGATGATCCACACATTTCTCAGGTTTTCCGCTTGGAAACGAAAATCTATTTTCTTTTTGTAAGCTTGGGATCTTGCACTATGAAGTCATGTGTAATACATCTGCCCAAGAAGAAAGGTCCTAATAAAACAAGAAGACTTGAGAATAGAAGCTCACACCTACCTGCTTTCCGCTGGTGTTACTGCATACTGTGCACACGGTGATGAGTAAAACAGCATCCTGTCTCCCAGGAGCTCTGGATTAACATATGTGAAGTATGTCAAGGGCTAAACTTTTTTTTTTCTGTATATATTTTTTTTATTGGAGTTCGATTTGCCAACATATAGCATAACACCCAGTGCTCATCCCATCAAGTGCCCCCCTCAGTGTCAAGGGTTAAACTTTAATGTGGTTGTGGCTGCTCCCCAAAAAAGGAAAGATGTATTTATACAATACTGGGAAAGTATTTTAACGATACTTGTCAGAAAAAAAAAAAAAGCATGGTGGAGAACTGCAAAGAAAAGTGAAAATCAATTACACATGTTTTAGAAATACTCTGCATTTTGGGGGGATTGGATAAACAGTGTAGGTGCGTTCAGTGACTGGACTGATTTCCTAATGAAGACCAGCACTTGCACATGCACTTGCATGTCATCATCTTTAATGTGGTTGAAGTGATCCCTCTGTTCAGTTTCTTCTCAAAAAAGCCCCTGCCTGCTTGGCCTTGAATCAGGATAGAGCCACACTCTAGTGAGCTCTTCTTTCACTACACACTGCAAACTTCTAATCATACACTTATCACTTTGAGCTTTCTTTTTTCACTTTTTAAAACCTTTGCTTTTTTTCTCTTTTTACACATGAAACACAAAAGCACAAGAAATAAGAAGCAAAAAAATTTAAATTATCTGAAATTCACCACCCAGAAATAACAAACACTATTAACGTTTCAGGATAAGGCTTTCTGGTCTTTTCTTCTATGTACAGCTATACTTCTTTAAAACTGAAGTGGATTATACTGTACACATATCTTTTATTATTCCATAAAGTTAACATCTCCCTATTAAATATTTTCTATAACTTACCTTTAATAGCTATGTAGTATTCCATCGTATCAAAATACCAACATGTGTTTAACCATTCGTTAGTGGCCTACCATTTTCTTCTATCATCAATAACCTGTGAGGAAAATTCTCACAACCATATATTTCCATATGTCTAGGCAATTTTTTGGTATGAATTTTGAGAAGTGAAATGGTCAGAGGATATAGTTATTTTTAAGGCCATCCATGCTCCACAAAGGTTGTCAATAGAACTTACCATAAACGTAAAGTAATGTCTGGTATCTTCATAAGAATAATATGTAAAAAAAACATTAGCCAATTTGACATTGAACATGATATTTTATGTTTTAATTTATATTTCTCTGATTACTTGTAAGGTTAAACCATACCCAGGCACTTAATAAATACTTGTTAGATAACAGCATTTTTCCCAACAGGCTGCCATTATTAAAATATTTTTCAAATTAATTAAAAAGTTTCTTTCATATCCAGAGTGCCACATTTTCATTATACTATTTTCAGAAGAAGAAAGAAAAAACCAATCTACATTCACCTAACAAAAAATTCTGATTGAATACATTGAACACATTTAATATATCTGCTTCTATATTTACTATTTGCTCAAAGTTATAAAATCTAAGCTTATGCCATAAAATAATTTTTGAAAAACTATACTTAAGCAGAATTTGGGAAGACTTTTTGCAGACAAAGTAGTTTTATTATTTAAAGAAAGTGGTCCTTTGTGATCTACGGTCAGGGAGACATTTGGTGACAGTGAATGGGTCCATCTTATTCTGTGCTCTGAAGAATGATGTGTGATGCTCTAGCTCATGGTAGACATTTATCAGATGCTTATTGAATATCTGGATTAACATCTAGTTAAATAAGTGATACTAATGAACTATTTTATGAAATGTTGGTAGTTTTTCCTTTGCACCTCATACTCTGCTTCAGGAACCATTTCTCTCCTTTCTCTTGTGGCTCTGCCTCGAGAGCAGTACATGATAGTATTTGGGAGCATGGGTTCTGGGGCACTTGCATTTTAATCCTGAGTTTGCCATTTACTACTTATGAGACTCGGGCAGGTTTCCCAAGCTTTCTGTATACTCCGGGTTCTGTATCTCTGAGATAGACACATATAAGTGCCTCATACATGTGTTGTATAAATGAAATGATTGACACATATAACGTGCTTGGAACAGTGCTTCAGGGATGCCTGGGTGGCTCAGTGGTTAAGCATTTGCCTTCGGCTCAGGGCGTGATCC